CTACCGGAAGTTCCGGAATCGCACGAATGGAAATATTGGGAAGTGAGAATCAGAAACCGGATGCCGCAGTGTGACCCACTTTTCCAATAGCTTGGTAAAAATAAAACATGTATTCTTTCGTCTCGATACGATCTAAGCTAGCTAAAAGGTTATGACACACAATGATGATACTTTATGGGTTAAGTTTTGAATTAAAAATATTGTAGATTTATATAAAACACTTAAAAACGATGGCGATGTCGACCTATTTTGGTTCTAGTTATTCGACGATCCACAGACTGAAACCACGAATAAATTTCACGGCTTTTTCATCTGTGGACTGGGGTTCGCGACATGTATGAGGTTTCGATTCCTCCCACAGATTTAATATTTAGATTTCCAAATGAAGTCCAATATGTTTAAAAAAACTTAAGATTTATTAGAAGGATGGAACTCACGTGTCGTAGAGTAGCCATACATTTCTTGCATTAGACCTACGAGCCCATACCGTCATTTCGATGTCAAAAAACCAACAAATTTTGTCATCTGACAACGCGAATTAGTCTAGAAGATTTACCTATTTAGGATAAAAATAAGAATATAGAGGGCGGATTTTGTACATATTTTACAAATAGAAAAGTGATTTTAAATTTTTGTACCTATGAAAAGCACTGAACTGATTTTAATATAATATTTTAGCAATAAAAAATCATTAGAGAACGTTGAAGCTCTAAATAAAAATATATAACGATAATGGATACGAACGCAGACGAGCCTCTGAGCAAAACCGTTAATTATTTTACGACTGTCATTAACTCTTTAATGGCATGAAATAGCACTGATTGCGTAACAAAGGTCAGGTTCACTCTAAGCGCAAAAAATTCACACTTGCGGAATCCTCGCCGTCATACCAATGAAAGTTACCGGATTATGTGTTAATGCCAAGTGCGGCGAAGAAAGCGAGCTTCCCGACGGAGCTTTTTTCATGCAGCCATCTCGCTCTAGCACCTTTGGAACTCGCTCGTAAGAGAAAGACGGCACATTTTAAAAGAGAAAGCGGGCCACGTTACGTTTCTCGTTCCTCTCGCGGGCTTTGAACGTAAGTCACAATTTATTTTTGTCGTACATTAGATTTTATTATATTACAATAAGGTTGGTTTTTAATTGCGCAGCAACGTACTTATGATGTGGGTACGTCACCATTGATACAGAGATGCAAAATTCGGAGAGCAACGAACTGCGGGCAGAGAAAGTGTTGTGTGGTGGGTAACCTTGAGCCTTCGCTTTCGTCAAAATCGCTTCGAGGCGATACAAAACAAACGAAACAGGTGCCTTAGGCGAAACTTGAATAGATTATTTATTATCTATAGTCTATTAAAATATTATAAAGCTGAAGGATTTGTTTGTTTAAACACGCTAAACTCAAGAACTACGGATTCGCATTAAAAACTTATTTTTGTGTTGCTTGGTTTATCGTCGAGTGAAGAATTTTTCGTTATTAAATAATCAAAAAGAATGTGCGCGACAGTATATGTCTATCTTAAAAGAACTGATTTTGCCAGGTCCGCTAGTTAATAACGTACAGCTTAACGGGTTGGAAAATAAAATCGAATTGATTTTTTATTCTTAAGACCAAAAACTACTACTTACTGTTTTGTTGTTCCTTATAACAATTTATCGGAGCATAACACCCTTCGTTACGTAATGCGTTACAACCACAGCTTTAATTTCTATCCTTTGCACAATTTAAGGAACTAACAATTTTTTCTGCCTTTGAGTTCAACATTTTCGATCGGGCAGGGCACAGAAGTGTAATCTCCAGGAGAAACTAAATTTCACAGGTTATAAAGGCAACTGAGTGTGTTGTTTAACATAATTCTTAATGCTAGTCACTTCTAAGCTAAGCTGGTTCTGCTAAGTCACTTTCGGCTCTAATTAACGATATGACTGATGTTTAAAATTTGGTTTTGTGGTAATTAATTGAAAGTTGTGTTTAATTAAAAATAAGGAAAGCGGACGAATTTCCTCGCGCAACTCATCCACTATTACTTAGAAGAAATGGTCTAATAATATTTAATCACCTTTAACGATAAAATACATAAAGTTATATATTTAAGCTGCCGTATAGCATTCGAACCTGGGCGTAGTTAAAAAAAAGTTTAAATAAGCTAACAATTATTTTTCGCGTTTTGAACCAAGCCGTAAGTGATCTTACTTAGAAATTACTTTTACTTTGTCTTTTTCAAGACAAATACAACAAATTAGTAAGGGTTAAAACCTGTAATATTTAATTTATATGCGTGGTCGACTTATTTCGGCGTTCGACTATTTTGTATTGCTTTAATTGTAATCTATTGTATATACTGGACATTAATACACAGAAATTAAATAAAAAGAAGCCGAGTAGTAAACATCTAAATATATTAATCAACTTATTTACAATTTATTTTTAACCGCAGCTCGGTGTTTCAAATTGTTTTAAGGTTCGAAATTAATTATAAATAATTAACAAACACATTTCGCGTTTTAAACCGTTAAAACTGTATTATACGAATTTGGGTATGAATAAACTTAACGATGTGCTTTGATAGAAACTAGAGATTGCCGTACGCCCGGCGAGTTATTAAATACAAGAGATTTCTCCCGCGCCGCTCATAAAAACGGCAAAATAATCGAACGCCATTCATGCGTCTCCAAGAATAGCATAATCTGCCCATGCGCTTGCGACGCAGCCACACACGTGCCATTGAATAACGTTTTACAAGCTTTCGTTTCATATGAAAAACTTTGGACTTCGCATCACTTTTATTGTCATCGCTCGATTGCAATTTTCACTTTTTCGGTCAACGATCTACGACTGTGATTTCTCGTGAGAAGTGTTGTTCTTATTAATGTGGTGGAATTAATTGGTTTTGGCAGATAAGAGGGAGACACTGTCTACCTGTAAATCTATAGAGCATTAAATAATCTACGTTAAATTAAAGATCGATTATAAAAAAAAATAATTATCGGGCAGGACTTGAACCGGTATACTCAGCGTTCCGCTATTGCTCTAACCAATTGTGAATGAAAAAAGTTTTATTAAGTTTCATGCTTATTAAAGAAATAAGTAGACTTCCTACTCCTTAATATTGGCTTACAAATTCACAACTAATATACAGTTATGCAAATCACAATTCGAAAATAAAAAAAAATATTTAAAGAATATAATTATACTAATATATTAACAATATAAATACTGTCTATAGTTTACGCGAGTAGTACCCATTTAAATAAAACACTTTAACGGTTTAAAATGCGATATATTAGTTAAACTTATTTAAACTAACTTACTTGATTTAAACTTAACCTAACGTTAAAGAACATCGTTCTTTAAGTTAATAACAAAGTTCTTTAAGTTAAATAACGATGATCAAAATGCTTTTAAATTAAGCCATCTCGCATCACTTAGTAATATGTAGATCAACTTTCGCTGTTTTTCTAGGCGTTACAGCGAATGAATTAATAACAAAATAATTGAGTAATAACCTCCGTTCATGCTAGTTTAATGAGAGTTTTGACAGAGCAATCAGACTCAGAGTTAGTTTAAAAGGTCGGTTCTGGCCCGAGGCGCTGTTCTGCGTCAGGCACCTGTCATTTGTCAGTTTCAATAATATGCAATTTGACAGCTCCCCAATCAGTAATCAGTTAAATGAAGACATCAGTACTTTCCTGGTATCAAGTGGGAAAAAATTTAGAACACGCCACTTGTGTTCGAAATTAATGGCTCGATAAGATAACGAGTATCTTGGTCGTGTTCTCTTCAATTACATTGTATTTTAAAACTACCTTCAAGATGAAAACGTGGCCAGATTGAAAGTAAAAAATGAACTCCCGTCGCGCGAACACATTTCTGTGTCCGTTTCACCGATCGGTTCTTTTGTTTGTTTCATTGGGATTGGAACCCAGGACCTCTCGGATGCAACATTTTTAACCATTTGGCTACTGAGGCGGTAAATTTTACAGTACCTACTCGTAATTATTGCATAAATATGATTGGAATTAAGTTCTTCTTGTAAGTGTTTGTAATGAATTCTTACGTGTCAAGTATTGGAGTTTGTAACTTTGACCTTACAGATGAATTTTGATTATTTTTATCTCACAAAGCATCAATGCGATACGACGAGTTATTTCGAAAATGAATTGCCAACTCATAATTGCGCTACAAAGGCCAAAAGTGCACAGAAAGCACACCGAATTAATTAAATATATTTTTTTTTAAGTCATATTACTTTAGAAAAAGTATTTATAATTAAATTTTTTATAAGTTGCATTATTGTCATTATTAATCTATAATATGTCGGCTCCAACGACCATCTTCTCTTCTGCGGACATGGCCAGCCCATTGCCATGTTAACCTGCCGATGTCGCATGCAATATCCGTCATTTTTGTCGTTAAGATAATACTTAAACATATTTCTGGTCATATGCGGTCTAGAAAGAGCAATAAAGATGTATTAAAATGTATATTTGTACATGTACGAGTCATACACCCAAATTGTGCTTAATAACGCCTCTCTGCAGTACATTAACGAGATATTCTGATGCGAATGAACATGCATTTGATTGTGATCTTGTACGGCGAGAGAACTTTCTAACATGCAGTCTCTGGTGAAATCGGTATCTAGCAGCGCTACGTAACGCTTCGATCCTCGACTTTTAACTCTTGATATTCGTTCATGACGAAACTAAGCTGAAGTAGACAGGTGTAACCGCACTCAGAAATCGGCGAATAGAATTGATTACATTTAAATAAAACACTTTAACGGTTTAAAACGCGATATATTAGTTAAACTTATTTGAATTAGAAAAATATTACATCATCCACTCCGTTAAGGACTGAAGTAAAGGACAATAGGTAATTCTTTAATACAAGAACAATAGCTTGTACTCAAATTTAAAATAGACACAGGCATAACAATATATAGAGTAATAGAAAAAACGGCCTTGCACCGCCAGTTGAAGGTCGCGCGTTTCCGATCTCAGCAGCAGCGTATCGGTGAAAGATGCATCTGGTGCAGTTCCGGTAGTGCATTGCCGGTCAGTGGGTCACGCGGGGAGTGGGGCTTAGGGGGGCTGGTGGGGCTGGTGTTAGGGGCCTCGGTGGCAGTGTTCGCAACGCCGTCATGCGAGCACCCGCGGCGGTTGCGCGCTGAGCGCATCTCCCGAGTTAAAACTGAACGTGTCTCCTTGGTTACAGACCGCTGAGTGACCGGACCGCGATTATGAAGAGGACCAGGCTGTTGTTGCTGCTGGCGACGCTCCTTTTTCAGGTTGGTGAATTCAATGATTCTATTAAACGTTTTTAAAATATAATACGATACAGACACTTTAATTAGGTTCGAATTCTGTTCTCTATATATTTTAAATGCTTAAAAAATTTGCTGTAATTGGGTCCCATATAGGTATTTTTATTTATTCTGATGTTTAGTATATCGTTTTATATTCTTGTGATCTGATAATGTACCATAATAAATAAATAAGATTTTTTTTAATTTAAAGATTCACAAACCGTACATCAAATATCTATACACTGAAAGTCTTAAAACATAACTTTTAATAAAATTATACAACAAATCCGTATTATAAACATTTTTTTTATCATTTAAACCTCGTTGATCTATTTTGAACTATAACAAAATTTACTGCAGTTTCGAAAGACAAAAATAGACCGAAGTTTTTTATTTTTCAATAGTTAATACATTTTTGTGTTTTAAATTAGCTAAATCTGTGTGATAAACATGCGTACTAATTTTGTAATGTCAATTAACAAATTTAAACTCTTTGAAAAGTCTTATTTGATTCTACAAAATTTAAATCATTATGCTATTAAAAGTAAAGTGGAATTCCAGCTAAAAATATAGCTTATTATACCTCAAGCTACACCTCCAGCGGTGTATACAGTAAGCTAACCGTCCGCCAGCAAATGAGCTATTAAGCCGATCGGTACGTGCAACGTCATAGCGTTTTTCATCAATTATTAGATTTCACCACAACTGTAGCCCACATTCAATGTGCCGTTCCAATATCGTCTATATATTCGCTGCATTCCATATGTACTTTGTCTAATGCGGTGACGATAAGTTTTTAATTCACGCTTATAACTTATTGACTTTATTTTGACTTGTTGGCGTAATGGCGAAGGATCAACGGGTCGTGGGTCAATGGTCCAACATGTTACTAGTCACTTTATAATTTTCATAAGACATGTTGGAATTTTTCTGGAAATCTGGAATTTAAATTGGTGCTAGTATTATCCAAATGACGTCCAGGTCAACAAACCACTGTTTCCAGAATAATCCGTTAAGTTTAATGACGTTTCGATTGCGGTCTGTAGATTTCCGAATTATTTTTATTTCGACCGACAATATAGCGACGAGAGCCAAAATAGGTCAACGACGCATAATGTTAAAGTTAATTTGGTTGGAATATTTCACTTTCCATCAAACCCCACGCTGGTCTGTTCTCCCCTAACATAATAAAATAGATAAAATTTACGTAATACAAAATATTTAAAAAAAAGTTCCTCCTTATTGGAGCTTTAGTTATTTAATTTGTTTTTATAGTTTAACTAACGATCAACATAACAAATACGAAATAATCAATCGTAAAAAATCTCAAACAATTCCAAAAACATACTTGTTCTACGCCATTTGTGAATTAAAATTGTAAACTGTCAAACCGATCATCCTATTTTAAACAAACTATAGCTGAAAATATACTCGTATCATGTTACTAACGTATTCATATAAGCTACGTTTGCTAGTAAAAAGTATAATGACGGTACAATAGCATTTTCTATTCATAGGAGAAAACAGCAATGTTGTTTTTGTAAATATTACAAACTGTACGTTGCTATCATCAACGGACAGTTAGCAATATTATGTTCCTTTGGAACATAGAAATGCGATAAAAATTAAACTATTGTAGTTATATATGTGTGTTATAACTTGTTTAATATGTAGCTTTAAACTTTATAAAACGCTAAAGATATCAATTACTTTTATAGTTCGCTTAGTGATTCAAGATTACTTAACTAAACAATTTAACTGTTTTAAACACGTGTGAAATAGTTTTATTTAACTCTTAGTATTTTATACTGTATAGAATTACTCCTTGAATATTGAATATATAATATAAACATCTGGTATGGAAAATAATGTACTGTCTTACATGTATTATAAAAAAAAGTTCAAACCCATGGTAACCATATGCCTGTATGTAAATCGATTATTGGGACATACATGTTTGCCCCATGCCCCACTTATAAAAATGTTATTTTAGTTCTTTACGTAAACAACGAAAACCTGATCAATAAAATGCATTTCAGCGATTTCTCGTTTCGAGTTGTATAAAATACGACGACAGTGATCGCTTTGGCCTGCCAAAGCACTTTCACTGGTAAAATTTTGAGCTTACAGATGATGTAACGAGTAACTGAGTCGTGCAAACGATTTCATTTCTGTCGTGACCAAATTGTTAGATAATATTGTTTAATGTCTATACAATATAACAAGAACGGTCTACGTACTAAGAAATTGTATCATTTTCTTGTTCGTGGGTCGGTTATTCATACTATGATATAAATAAAATAATAAATATATCAAGCATTACTACTTTTATTAGAGAAAAATTGTCGTCAAATAGGTACAACGAATTATATTAGTTACATAATATACTAGCCGTGTTAGTGACTTCGTCCGCGTAGAATAGTAATTTTGTGCATCGAAATTGGTTTTCGCAAACACCCTTTTCATCTTTATAAACTATAGCCGTTACCAACGACGTCGTCCGCGTCCAGTCATTCCTGCAAGTTAATCTTAAAAGATAGACATATACCGCCATAGACTTTTTTAGATCACTTAAAGAGGTATCATTCTTTCATATATATTTTTCGGGTATCTTGAACCGTTTTACTAGCGTACGCGTCGAAACTCACAGAGACGAATAATTATCACCGTTTCACATTTCGCGTCACAACGCATGTTTTATAGCCTAAAACCTTCCTCGATAAATGGTCAAACCGACACAAATTAACTTTTCAATTCGAACCTGTAGTTCTTGAGATTAGCGCGTTCAAACAAACAAACAAATTCTTCAGCGTTATATATTAGTATAGATAGCGATTTTAAAGGGCATCATCAGTTAAAATGTAAACCATAATACCTATGTAGTTCCTTGAAGCCTGCACAAGTAGGTCAGGCACAGTCCCCTAACATTTTGGCAGAGGGTCCGACCATGGAAACGGATGTGGCCACCTTTCACTCGCTAACCACCTGTTCATCATGAATGGATGATCACCGAAATAAGTTTTTGAGCTACATTTTTTAGTTAAATTTTCCTAAATCCTATATTATTCTTTAAACATTTCTAAATCATTATAGCTGTTTATTTTTAGTACAAAATCAAATTAAGACATCTTTAACTATGCAACAAAGGCCACAAATCCAATGAAGAAGGCTTTTCGTGAAAGTCGTTTAATAATTACTTTACATATAATTAGGTTAAATACTGAAAACATGAATTATATAAACAAACTACAAGGTGTCTTAACTCTTAACCCGTTGAAAGTTTTATTAACCTGTCGTAAACTAAGATACAATTTCGCGCGTAAATATCTAACATACGGTCTGTTGTTTTGAAGCATTAGTTTAATAGTATCTGGATCATGATAGCGTCTAGAATATTCCGATGGAAACCTTTAGGGATGTTAGGGCCACTGCATTTCCTTTTGCTATTTACAAACTCGAGCAGTAGGTAATTTCTAACCGGTTAGAAAATGCGATCGGCGCGCAGAGAGCTTTATTACACTTGTCGCTCGTAATTAATTTCACTGTTGCGGTATTAGACGATATTATATTGGTATTACTTATATGAGGCCGCTGGAGGAAGAGTAGCCTAACTGTAATTTAATGAGTTGAGTTATTTATATTTTTATAGTCCCAAAATGTTAATCTAAAAGAGCACAGGGAACGACAATTGTTAACACAATTCTTACACAAATACTAGTGCAAATGAATTACGTAAGTTAATTGCGCATATTTATTTTTCTTTTTCTTAAAACGTGTTTTTATTTTTAGGCCACTCTGCCTCTGCCTCATATAGTTTAAAGAAACAGATTTTCATTACGTTATTTCCAAGAGTATTTATTAAAGAGACAATGGATAAACGCAATGATTTTGTCACCCTATTAATCTCTAGCTAAATCACAAAAATGACAATGTGTTAATATTGAAAATTCAAAATTTAACATTCGTTTTCAGATGTCAGCTAATAATAAATCTTCTTTTAACGATATTTAAATTTTTATTCTTCTTTAAACATTTCTGTAACGATGATGATAAATACTCTGTCGATTATACTTTCGAAGTCTTCTCTCACGTACCAGATAGAAAAGACTAAGACCAGTTATTGAACCAGATCTAACTCTCACACCATAAACTTTTAGAAAATCTTATTAAACTCTTGAACATGATAACACCAAATAAAGACATTTATAAATAAACCGTGGAAGAAAAGAAACTTTCGAAATTTAAACTGTTATATTAAATTAATAGTTTTCATATAGCCCGAACTATATTTTTTTTAATTTGAAAAAAATTTAACAGTGAATTCAACTTCTAACCCAACTCAGAACTGTTGAAAGGGCCAGCCTCCTTTTTTTGAAACATTCTTTTTTAATGTAATCGAAAGTACGAGGACTCAAAATAACTGATATAAGTTTTATATTTCTCTGAAGAAATTAGCAATGCGCTCTCTTTTCAAATCCGGAATAATGATAGCCAAGAATATCTAAAAATATAGGATGTACATTTAAATAACAATGTTATCAACAAGATCCCGTTTACATTGTAGGTATTATCAGTGCAAACTAATAAAAAGCCCGCCTGCTGAATGATAAACCGAAATATTCTTACGCAAGACGCTCGTTAAGATCGTGAAAGTTATATCTTACTAGGTTGATTAATATTATAATAGGCAGCTCGCGGCATCCATCTGTAGAAAGTCGGAAAGAACGGCGCGCGCGCAGGATGGGTGATGCGTGGGGAAGTAGACTGAGACGTACCACGGAATGTGCGCTCGGCCAGCGATGCATTCATTTATTGTCTATAATTTAAAATTTGTACGAGATGAAATAGCGATGACCGATTTAATATTACTCGTTCGTGAATATTACGAATAAAACATAACATTATACGGCTGAATTTTCATAGTTTAGGTCACATTTTATCAAAAAATGTCTATAAAAAGTTCTGTAGAGCACAAAACTTAGTATAAGTATTAAGTACTAAAAGTAATTATTGCTAATTGTTCGTCAATTATTTTTCGTTCTTTTGATAAGAAGTAAAATATATTTTAGATTGATATATTTCAATAAAATGAGCGGACTACAGCGGTCCGTGCTCTTGTTGTTACCAAATAACCTTTCATTCACATTGTTTTTTATTATATTTTTTTAATAATTAATAAAAAAACAAAATTTCACACTTTATGTTGAAAATAGACATTGACTTATACTTTACTTTTTCTAATTTCAGGATGCAACATGCGAGCCGCCAGTAGACTCAGCCTCTCTGCCCCTCGAGCACCGTGGTGGCGCGTACGGCCCGCCCTTACCGCCTCACACAGATGACCCCTGGCCCCTCTCCACACCCGACAGCCCCAAAATCAAACATCTCCAAGTACAATGTGAGAAGACCCATATGCGTGTCAACATAGAGTTCGATAGACCGTTCTATGGTATGATATTCTCCAAAGGATTCTACAGCGATCCACATTGTATGCACTTGAAACCAGGTACCGGTCACTTGAGCGCCACCTTCGAGATATTCCTCAACAGCTGCGGCATGAGCAGCTCAGCCAACCACAACGTCGCCGCATACGGAAGCCCTACGCCTAGCGGATCGTACGTCGAAAACACGATTATAGTGCAGTACGATCCTTATGTTCAGGAAGTATGGGACCAAGCGAGAAAACTTAGATGCACCTGGTACGACTTTTATGAAAAGGCCGTCACCTTCAGACCGTTCCAAGTCGATATGCTGCATGCGGTTACGGCGAACTTTCTCGGCGACAACTTGCAATGCTGGATGCAAATTCAAGTGGGGAAGGGACCGTGGGCCTCAGAAGTGTCTGGTATAGTCAAGATCGGGCAGACGATGACAATGGTACTTGCAATCAAAGATGACGAAAACAAATTTGACATGTTAGTAAGGAACTGTGTAGCTCACGACGGTAAAAGGGCGCCGATCCAGCTAGTAGACCAATACGGATGTGTGGTCAGACCTAAGATAATGAGCAAATTCCAGAAGATAAAGAACTTCGGTCCATCGGCGTCAGTTGTATCGTTTGCCTATTTCCAAGCCTTCAAATTCCCAGACTCGATGAATGTTCACTTCCAATGTGTTATACAAGTTTGTAGATATAACTGTCCCGAACCTAAATGCGGTGGTCTAGGCGCCGACTATGGCGTGCCATTATTAGGTGGCAACGCTCTAGGTGCAGGAGAATATGGACTACCGAACGGCGAATATGGCCCACCTCCATCTCCTCACGCAGAATATGGAGTTCCACCGGCATATCCTGACCCCAGACATCCAGCGGATTCATCGGGTGCTTACTCAGAAAAACGAGATGACTCCGTCCCACCACCGCAACAAGTACAAGCGTCCTCTACACCAAACGCTCCTAGTCCCTCCTCACCGGCGCCGAGTCGTGACGAAGACGACGTGAACCTCCCACCTCCACCCCCACCAGGTAGACGTGGCGTATACAACACAGTCAAGAGGAAAGACGAGGGTCACGGTAATCTAGCCACCCTCGGAGGCCGTCCACGATCCGTTGAAGATCTACCCGAAACGTTAGTCGGCGTGAGAAGAAGGCGTGAAACATCAACGCCCACACGAATCTACAAACGAGATGCCCAAGAAATGACTGACGTAAACACGAGTAGAATCATACAAGTTGTAGCTCCGGGAGACGTCAACTTCGCCTTGAACAATGCTGCTTCGAACGAAACGGTCGTAATACAGTCGCCAGCGACCGATCCGGAAACGATATGTATGTCTGTACCGTCCTTTGTAGCAGGGCTCGTGATGTTGCTGCTGGTGCTAGTGGTGGCATCGCTGGTGGCCGCATTTCTTTTCGTGCGAGTGCGCGCGCTGGACAGGAAGGGCGCGCACGGCGCAACCGCATACTACGAAACTGATTACGTGAAGCATACGAATTAGCCGCAAACGTTTTGGGTGCGAATGTGACGCGTGGACGTTAAATGAACTCTTCTCAGATCCAAAGAGCGAGTGAGCGTTGGCCCCGGCCGGGCTGCGCCCCCTGACGCCAAGAGGCGCCGCCTGGCCGCGGCCGGAGCCCGGTGACTTATTTATTTAGCATACGAGTGTGTGATGTATTTTTTCGACTGCATTTTGTAAATTATTTTATTCGTGTGTGAAACGCCCCTGTACTGTATTTTATAGTCGATCTATGTCTGTTGTAATTTTGTAAAGAGTCGTAAATAAGGAAAATTAGTTATAAGTTGTATACCAATTAAAGTGTCGTGTGAGATTGTTGTAATTATTTCAGTTTTTATGGTACCTTTCTACATTGTAAATGGGGGTAAATTAACAAAGACTCATTTACGAAGTCTAAGTATATTTATTCATATGAACAAAATTACAAACTAAATCCTATGTAAAAAAATAAATTTATACTAAACATTAATACAGGAATCTAAGAAATATTTTTACAAATATGTTTCAGTTCAGACTATTGATACTCGTTGCAGGAAAATCCTATTTCCACGGTCGATTCTTTTGTTTCCTTTTACAATTTTTATCTCGAGCTTCTGGCACCGGAATTAAATTCATAACCGATGAGATCTCTGACTTCGAAGGGCTTTTATAAATCACTTCCAACACCTTATTGTGCTTTTTACAAATAATATCGACGAGGTCCTGAAACAAATGCAGTTATGACAGACTTTAACAAAGTACGCTTTAAAAACTTTTATGAATAAACATTTAAGACAACGTTGCGTGCGTAGTTATATATAAAATAATGATTCCAAAATGATCTTAAATGTCTAAAACAGGAAATATATTTTAAGGTTAAATAACAAGAACGTCAGGACGCGTCTGACGTCGTGGGCACTAATTATATATAGAAGAAACTATTAGTTTTACAAATGTTTAATAGAATTTATCGGTTTATGCAAATAACACAAATATGTTTGTTGCCTAATCAAGTTTGAACCAAATATATAACTATTGGACCCACTGACCTCCTGCAGTCGAGACGACCACCACTAGACCAAAGAGGGATTCGATCTTAAACATTACATACCTTTTGAAATAATGGTCTTCTAACCGTCTCGTTTCTTAATTTACTTTGATAATTCGATACTTGTCTCCTTTCATTAGCGTATAGGGATCTGAGCGTATTTGTATCATCTTTTCTCTCTATACCGCAATCCTCAGTCTGTGTGTACTTGTCTTTTGTCCTACATTTATTATTAATAGCCTTTATAATCTGTAAATTATATTATTATAAAAAATAAATAAATAAAGGACTTGTGATACCAATTTATGTATTTATCAGACCATTAATCCGTCAATTAAATCTTATGAGAGTGTTAGTTAGTATAAATAAAATTTCATAAAAACGGTGCTAAGGTTAGCACAAACGTCACGCCATAATTTTGGAAGCGCAGTGTAAGGAGTTGTCACACAATGGATGGCATTGGACCTTATTTAATCCTCACATTCTCCGGGTATCTAACTTATAAGAGGTATTCAATAAAAAATTGGCATTGAACATTTTGTGAGTATTTAAATATCATTCAACAAATCAAAGCAAAATATCTATGTCCACTTAAGCTAGGACGGGACGACATTGTATTTTCATCTAGAAATACTTTCTATGGCAAAACAACGGTTGCTACGTCATCTTTATAAATCGATCAACTACATTAAACCTGATGAAAAAATTGAATGAGATGCGTACTTACATTATTTTGACAGCGTCCCACTTTCCTTTGAACTTGATTAGATTTAGATTCCAAAGTAAAATTATTACAAAGTCGAGGTATTCGTAACCTAATTTCGGACTGCGTTTGCTTCCGAGCTTTTCGACGTTTTCTCGTTCTTCTTTGAGAGCTCTCCTGACCGCTACGGCAATGCTGAAGGAAAACAATGTTAGTGATAATGAAAACCTTTTTTCGATTCCATACGCGTACACAAAAATATTTCTGTTGTAAAATCTAAAAAGAGAGAAGTACATTTCAGGGTTTTAATGGATCATGTCATTTAGTTGTTAAACGTGTTGATTAAGCATTACGATGAATAAGAGGTCGTGTCATGACACACATGTCTAATCAACTACTTGTAAATAAAATTATTAAACAGTTAAACATTAGTTAAACAGATTTTTTTTTGTTTTAATATCTAAAAAATAGCGCCGAGATTATTTTACAATACTGTCTATAGTTTACGCGAGTTGTACACATTTAAATAAAATACTTTAACAGGTTTAAAACGCGATATATTAGTGATATCGTCACGGGGAGACTCCACGTGACCACGGCTGCTGCAAAGCATCCGAAACGTCGGGCCGAAGTTAAAAATCATTTCCAAATAAGTTTAACTAATATATCGCGTTTTAAACCGTTAAAGTGTTTTATTTAAATTATTTTACAAATTAAATTATACCAATGCAATAGTATGTTCCATAATCGTAGGCGTATTTAACCTGCTTTTGTTATATTATATACTACTGACAATCCACAGACGAACAGATTCTACTTAACGATAATCGCCTAAAAAGCCCTTGTAGGTAGTATCACAATATGGTAGAACAGCGACAGGATATAAGAGACCAGTATTATACAATGATTTGGACAATGTCACCTGTTCCTTCGGAGACAGCGATGGCCTGTGGCGTCGAGGCGAAGAACGGTGCCGATGCAGCCTGCGACATGGCACTCTCGATGCTGTTCGAGGCGTTGGACAGCAGTCTGCACAGCTCGCACCGCGACGATGTCGTTGCTGCAATGTCGTGCGTCAAAGAAAGTTATAGGTAAGATAAAAGTTTAAGTTCAGTGCCAGAAACACTATGGAAGTTTGTTTGTTACTATTCATGCAATAAAACTTTCGATATTTGTATTACATCTTTAAAATTCCCACAACAATTCACGGCCAATAATACTGTATACTGTACTGGTACTGGTATAATAACAGATTTATTTAAATCATCCACACAAAGACAAAGACATAAACTGAAAGATAGAGGAGTGCTTCTATCTTTCATTGTCGATGTAGATTACTTAGTTTTTTATCATGCCTTAGAATGATACAATTTTTAAATCTTCATATAAGTCTCAAATATGTAGATGTAAGAGTCAGGCTCTTACATCAGAAGCAGCACCTGGGTCGAGGTGGGGACATCCAGGTGCTCCATGTGGCAACTTGCTGCCTTCGCCACCAGCGTGGTTCTCGTGGACGTGCAGTTTTATATTGTTGCGAATCAAATGTGGCTTTATTTCTTCAAACCAGACATCACATAGCTGAAATAAAAAGGAAAGGAATTATCCATAAATTTTCTATTAAAAATGCTAGACTTTTTTTAGGACAGTTGGGCGGTTCACTTGATAGAGGTTTTATTTTGTTTTTTTGGGCATGAAATCAACAAACCTATGCGATTAGACTTCTTCCTGGCGAAGTCCAAAATGTTTTGAAATTATAAATTGATTAGAAACATTCAAACCCACGACCCTAATTTTTGGACCAAAGAAAGCAGGAAGATATCTTCTTATGTAAAAACCACGTTTTATAATTCTATGATATGATTGAAATGCGTCTTGTTTGTTTTTTGTTGTTTTTAATTTTAAAATCAAGTAACAAAAGATTGTGATTTGACCATCTAAAGATACAAAAGGGAGAACATAATATACAGCTAGACGTTTTGCTCTGAAATATGAAAAGGCGCACAAACTTACATTCACTAATGCATTTTCTAGATCGTAACGTAACGCTTTGGGGATCTTACTCTTATTTCGTACTTTTGAATTTTTCTCCATATCTCCTATACCTTTCCCACCCACTGACGGGCGTTTGACATTATCTTTACCCACCATTTTCTTACCCGTTACATGAGCCATTTTTATTGCATAGTTGTCCTATTAGAAAATTTAAAATTTAATTCTATTTGCAAATTGCATTGGGCGAGAAAGACAAAAATGTTTTTTTACAGTTTGATATCGGTTGACTAATCTAACTATAGATAATAGAGTTTGACAGTCTATGTGTCACATTATTAATACTTTTAAACAATACAAAAAGGTTGATGCAAATTACTAACATAGGTATTACTATAACATTACAACAGATTTCATATTTACCGTTTGTACATTTGTAATATTACCGTTGTTTCTCATCTGTCAGTAAATTGTGACACTTTAGTTTTTTGTAATATGTGACAAAAAGTCGAGGGTAGTTTTAAAAAATTACATCACTTATCAAACATTTGACAATCGAATATTCCGGCTTGCACAAAACAGTGAGATAAAGTCTTAGTTTAAAGTAATCCTAGAAATATAATGGATATGTTTATTTGGAAGAGTGTCGTCGTCGGCCTAGCTGAGAGGATAGTGGGGATAACTAGGAGATTGAAGAATAATGAGAAAAGCGACGCAATCAACGAAGTACTAATATACGGCGGCGACACAGACGAATGGAGGAGGCAAGTAGGCCTCAACAATTTATTCTGCATTCTGTATATCATAGACCACGCTGGTCGAACAATCGACATATCAATGCCGAGCCTAGAAAGCGATTCGTTAACAAAATGCTTAATAGAAGTGAAAAACAGAAATAACATTGAGGTTCGTCTCATAGTGCACAATGTTACAGACCTTTGCAACCTGCACAGTTTAGCTGATAACGGGATACGCGTCAAAGTGATAAAATCAGCAGTGAAATTGGAACATGAATTCATAATCATCGATGGTGCTTATTCAGATGCTGTGGCGATTTTGGGTTCCTTGGACTTCGAAGTCAGCCGCGTCAACTGCTGTAAGGGTACGACGATCCTATCTTCGGATTGTACCCTCATATCCGCTCTGCAGCTGGAATTTAACAGAGTGTGGCTTTCCCATGACGACGAAAATATAAATAACTTTGACGACAGCGAGGAAGGAAGTTAACTTACCTATAATTTATAATAATCATCGTAATTATAAAACCTTTGTAATTTTTATTGTATTAATGTGTTAATTAAGAATGTATTAAATGAAAGTCGTGTGTAACAAAAATAATGTTGTTTATTTTCTTTCCATTCACATATAGTGACAAGAATTGTCAAAAAAACTATTTCAGATAAATTACATAATTGTCGAAGAATATAACGTAATAAGGCAATTTCCCTTATTTTGTACTCGAATGGTTTATCACGAGATTATAACATTAATTATTCGTTCACAAAGTCAATATTTGACTTAACTTATTTCAAATTCATTTTTGTAATATCGCTCGAAACGATTTACAACGATAAGAAATGTTTTAAGTATTGTCTGTAGTTTACGCGCGCATTTAAGTAAAACACTTTTAACGGTTTAAAACGCGAAACATGTTAGTTAACTTTTCCCCTGTGACAGAATCCTAGCCGGGCCGTAACTCGTTAAGTGTTTTATTTAAATTAGAAAATGTTTTGAGCGATATTTGTATCTCGTAAGTCATTTTCTACTTAAGATGCTAATGCGTACATTTTCACACTTATTCAAATAATTTTTTTCCTTATGTGTATTTACAAGTACATAATGTCGCTTGAAGGGAAGCCAAAAGTAATGAAATCTTTGGCAAGAAAAAACGTTATCTGTAACTTACAAGCAAATAATAGCTGACTAATATAAACAGTGAACATGCGAAATATTTTGTTTTTCACTCAAAAAAGCATAGTTCTCAAACGAGATAATCACATTTAATCCAATTATATTTGTAGAAATGTTTCAATTTCCGATAAAACCGACTTTTTTATAAATGCTATCTAAACATTCAAACTAGCTTCATACAAAAATTTAAATTATAGTTTTGTTTTCAAATATTTCCATAAGATAAAACTAACGTCTATTGTGCATATAAAAATACTTTAAAATTGTCAATTTAAATAATGGAATTTAAACATATCTATACACATAACACCGAGTTTAATATAATTAAGTTATTTCTGACATTAATTTACAAATTACAAAACAAATTTAAAATTACCAATTTAAAATACTGATGATATATTAGAAAAGTAAGAACCCACCTTGTCTGAAGTATGGGGCAGACATGTCTGTGCCCTTCTGAGCCGAAAACACGATATTATTAGACAATGGGTTTTATTACAGTAACACTGAGGTGGACTATACAAAAGGAATATTTCAACGAAATTTTTTATATACTTATAAGGTAGTTAAGCTTATATTTTTAAAACTACAACGCACTGCACGGTTCTATGTATTAAAAATAATATTCATACCATTTTAAAATCACTTTCAACGGTTTCAAACGTGAAATATGTTTGTTAAATCTTTTCTTTATTTTAACTACGACCCGACGTTATGGACCCTTGAAGCAGCGATGGTCACGGGAAAACTCAAGATGGAGATTTCCTAACGTCAAAGTCAAATCTGCTAGCGCCACCTGTGTCGTCGAGGCACAGTTAAAATAAGTTAACTACTACATTTCGCGTTTTAAACCGCCTGAAAGTGTTTTATTTGAATGAAGGAATAACTAATACGTCACATACACGAAGATATGAAGATTCGCTACTAACCTAAAGGAAATTTTAATTATCTACCAGCATAAAAGTATAACCAGAACAAAATTGCTAATTGATTCAGATCAGTATAAAAGTCAGATTCCAATTGTATTTACACAAAATACCTAATCTAATGTTAATTACATCCGTTTTTTTTTGTGACTAGCAATATGGATAAGCATAGCTAGAAATATTTATTTCACATGTTTTCAAATCACATTAACATCCTAGTGCAATTATTAACACTTTCAGAGTCATGGTCCATTTAAAACCCCCAAAAAGTAATTGAGTCAGATTTTATGCAATTTAGTCAATATAAACAATTTCCAAAACAATATCGCTGTGGTTTCGTAACGCTTAGGTTTTGGTGTTCGGCCATAATAATTGAAAAATAATTTAAAATCGAAACAAAATTGAAAAAAAAAAAATTTCAACTCGGGCAGGACTTGAACCGGCATCGTCAGCGTCCCGTGCTGTTGCTCAAGTCAAAAAAAAAAAAAATATTTTTTCAATTAATTTTCGATTGTTAAATTATATAGTGCCTTCATGTGCAATACATAACACATAACATATGAAAAATGTTAGTTTTCAAATGAAATATAGTTCACAACATTTTACTTTTAAATTGAGTTAACAAAATATTTTGATCACATTATCTCTCAATAAACATTCTAGCTATGCCAATAAGTTCAGTCAATACACTTCTAGTCACTACCTAGAGAAAGTTGTTGTCATACATCATTATCAATGTCACTTATAACATCCTGGGTGCCCGTAGAGCAAGGCGACGGCTCCGTGTCATTGGTTCCTCTCGGTGAAGACTGAGTGTACTCGCAGGGGGAACTTAAGTCATCGTCTGGAGAATTGGGGAGTTCTTCATCCATTAATATTGTAGCAGGCAACGATGGTGACACATCTTGTATATGACTTGTGTACACTGAAAGCGTAAATGACTTATTTAAATATTATAACTCATAGAAAAACAAAAATAAATAGTAACAGTCTGTTACATTAAATATCAAGTCATATTTGTGATTGGTGTGAGACACATTGAATAAAGCAATTTTAAACTGTTTTAAATGTTATAAATAAGCGAATTTTTATTACATATATGACTATAGTACTAAAATAGTATAGCTTTTTTATTAATGCCTCTGTAACTTTATGGTCAAGCATATTGGCTAGCAGGGTGCTAAATATGAGAGCTAGGTATAAGCTCTAATTCCAGGAAAACAATAAATTCTTTAGACAGTGCACAACTTCATCAACATGTCTGCAAACATGGGGAAAACTGACTTATACTTATACACTTTCTCTAACAAATAAAACAATTCAAGATGCCCAAATCCTCTATAAGATTATTATTATTTTTGTCTAAAATTAAGATTCTCACCATTGATATCGGACGATTTATACTCGGTGCTAAAACTAAGAGATTCTTCCATAGCTTCTATTGTCAGTGCATCAGTATCCAAGCTGTCCATGGACCCTGAGCAGGATGGTGAACTGTCTGGGTTTGTATTTAATATTTGCAAGTTTTCTAGCTGGGGTATGTGCGGACGTATCTGCAAAACAGAGGATGGATTTTAAAAATGTCTGAATTGATTTAGGAATGGTTGTAGCTGTTTGCATTCTGCACAATTTATTTGTATATGCAGTAAATAATAAATAGAGTATATTTAAAAAGTCTCCAAAGTGCTAATTAATGAAATAATTATGAACCCTTCTCAATCTCTAATCTAGTAAAAGTAACCTCTGTGTATTTCAATATCAGTTTAGTATTATGTCCAAAAAAGTATCTTTTAATGTAATTTGGAGGTACCTTCAATCCATCGGGTCTATGTGGATTTCTGCATCCTTTACATTTACACTCAGTGCAGGGCTTACTCTCTACGTAACACGGACAGCGTTGTCCACAACATGTCAACTTTCCTGGTGTAGCAGTTGCATTGCCACAGCGGCAGCCTTTTCTTTTGCTGCTTGGGTTGCGAGACCGATTTGATGGCTTTTTAAAGCCCAATTGGTTTGGCTGCAAAATTAAAAATTAGAGTAGGAATAGAAATTCTCATCAAATGCATGCCCTATGCATTAGTTTTCATTGTTTCTGTAAGTTGTTAGCTGAAGTTATAGTATAGTATTTGGTAATTATTTATTTTATTTTTATAGTTAATAAACCTTTTATAGTTTTGTTTATATTAAGCCCTAAGTCATAAAACATTAAATACTCTCACTTATAGGTGGTGTTTTACACAGTAATTATTGTTCCTTACCACAAGTATTATAAAGTTTTGTTTAATTCTTTACAAAGTAAAGAAAATTATTTTTATTTACCTTAATTTCTCGAGCAGCTTGCTCCATTTTTGGTTTTTCCGTCTCTTCAACTGCTTTTCTTTTGATTGTAATTTTATTACCTGAACCTGCATACATAACTGAATACAAAGGGGAGCCGTTTGAAAGTCCTCTAGTTGGAGAACCTTTGTTTGATGATCTTGTCTCCATTGTGTTAGACGCCTGGGCAACTTGTGTCTGTGTTGATGTTGAATTAGTGTAAACACAGGGTAAAATACTGTATGCTGATTTAGAAAGGCCAGCATTGTACTTGAAATCATCTTCAAATCTAGCTGCTTCTCGTATGAAGTCTATCAAACCTGAACTGGCCAATGCACCACCATTAACACCGGCTGCTACTTTATCCTCTTCCAATAAAGACCTAAATATTGGAGTCCCCATAAAATATTCACAGAGCTTTTTGTAACACTGTAATAGGATCCTTAGCTGCAAGTTTTCAGAATAATCGTCATAGTCTTTGCACCAGTTACAAGAGGGTTTTAACTTTTTCCTTCCTCCTTTGCAATTTTTACATACGTGATGTTGACAACTAGAATTTGTGGGTGTATAGGGCTCTTTCAGTAAATTTCCGCAAACCGTACAAGACAAGGATTGTCGTAAATAAGGTACTAAACGAAATAAATCAGTCCATGAACTTTTATCCGCTGGGTCCGCTAATATTATCAATTGACAAGTGGAGACATACAAACTGGTAGCATTCATCTTAATTTACAAGATAATTAATTAAACACCTAAGTAATTTGCGTAATTCATTTTCAACAAAATAATAAATAACTCTCAAGCAAAAAGCCGCAAACCAAACACTCCGTCAATATTGCTGGATATATCAATGTCAAAATCAGGCATATCTATTAGTGACAATGGACATCATCTTATATACGCATCTTTTTTATGATACCAATGATTTTAAATCTTTTTGAGAAATGTATACAAATACAACATTTAAATAAGTTATTTTCAAGGCATTTACTTTTATATTAGAATAAAGTTAAATGGAATATTTGCATTTCCACTCACCTATAGCAACACTGTTAAACAGGGCAACCCACAACTGCAACCGGAAACAAATATTTTTCATTTAAGTACTTCCGGAAATTCAAACACTATTTTTTATCATAGTTGTTGTCATATCTAATTATCCATAAATAAATAGAATATTGTAACCTAAAATATACCTTAAGTTACTTTGCTTTAAGTAAAGTAAAACTAAGAAGGCCTGTAAACTAACATAATTATCAAGAATTGATTAAAGGAGGATTATTTCGTTGGCCTGGCTGCTAAACATTAAAGCCAGAAATTTTCAATATTCTATTTTTATCCTAACGCTAAGACGAAATCAAATTAAATTGCAATCAATCAATGGTACATCCAACTGTAATTAATAAATGATATTGGCTCGATTACCTAATAGAAGCCTAATGGTAAACCACTGATAAGTATACATATTTAGGAACAAAGAAATTCACTTATCAAAGTACTCTTTTATACTCGGGCCAATAATCATACAACCAATCAGAATACATAGATAGTGCGTCAATTACACTAGATTTGACTGTTTGCAGTCCACGAAGTCTTTAAACGGAGTAGAACACGTATCGGATATTGTCTTGATGGACAGGAGGTGATAAAAGATAACCACGACAGTAGCAATTGATCCTCTGAATTGAGAGCATCTCGTCTCTCCAGTGGCCATCGGACGGGAGCAAACTAATTGAATCAATTCAACGACCGTCTTCCGTTGATTTGCGGGTTCGGAAAGTGCGTGTGTTAGATCGCGAAGTTTTCTATGTGATGTTGGTGATGTGGATTTTGGAGTTTGATATACGGTGATCGGACTATACAAGGGCTGAAAATGAAAAGGTATTTGCAATAATTTTTATAATCTGTTGACGAATTAGCACAGCTGTGTTCATTAATTAAATAATTTAAATTTATCAAGTTTATAGCATTTTAGTATTACAAATAACATCATTAGATACAGATTATTTTAAACAATGTTCCGGTAATACCAATAGAAATTCAGATTCTCATTCTATGATATATTTAAGACGAAGATACACATATAACAAAAAAGAATCTGTATTATTGCTGGAAGACTAAAAACGCAGTTGCAACGGACTTTTTTTTTATTTAATACTAGAATAGATAATATACAAAGTACGACAACAGAATAATCTCCTAAATAAAATTCTCAAGAAAGAACAATATTTAAGCGTTATGTACAATCATCTAATGATTCATAAAATGTACCTACTTGATAACGATTACCTTTCCTAAAATAATAATGATAAAAAGTTAAATATTCTCATTTTCGCGAACGGAATAGTGTCACATTATTTCAAAGAATCTTTTGATAAAAAAATACTTAAAGAGAAAAATGTCTTTGAAAGCATCTTTCTCAAGAATCACACTAAACCTACGATCCTCTGCAACTTGGCTTAAAACATTGCCAAGCATAAAGCGCAAGAGATCCTCGGTTCGTTCCCCATGAAAATAACAAATATTTTCAGTCGAGAAGGGTACAACAGTAAGTCAAAACAGTAAAAGCGGCATATAATAGTTTGGCCCATGTATGGGAAACGGGATTTAAATTTTTTGAAATACAAATAGCCCGAAGCAAATTTTTCCCTTGATTAACGTCGCTAGGGCGTTGGCGCATCATAAAGATCAATCAGACAATTGAGGCCGTTACGCGCTGTGCGCAGGAGTGTCCCTAACAATGTACACATAGCTTCCGTTCAGTAGCTTATGGATACAGGATAAATTTCCACTGAAATTAAGCAGTTAAGTTAGTCAACACATCAGGTACCTTAAGGCTTGAATATAATATACATATCTCCAAATTGAACTAGCAATTAATTAAATGGTGAATTCAATTCGAAATGCGATTAAATATAACATTTTGAAGGGTTTAGAACGAGAAATGTTCGTCGATATATTTTTATTACCGCCCGACCACGGATGATTTGCAGTAGCCATGGTCCAGAGGTACACGTAAGACGTCAGAGTCCGGCTGTAATCAAAGTAGTTTAAAAATAAATTAACTAATACATTTCTCCATATCATTGTCTTTCGGGCTTTTCGGCCGATGTGAGCGAGAAGAGGTTCCGACGTGTCGCCATCACTTGTGGACGGCATCATCAGGAGATGTTAACTCCTCGATTGCTCAAAAGAATTGAACAAAAGATTTCGTTTTAATAATTAACAAAATACTTCAACTCCTAGATACCTATATATAGCTTTCTTCTTAAAGTGTTTGGAGCAGTCGTGACCCCGACTGCTGCAAAGCATCCGAAACGTCGGGCCGTAGTTAAAAATAAATTTCAAACAAATTTAACTAAAATATATCGCGTTTTAAACCGTTAAAGTGTTTAATTTAAATGTGTACTACTCGGGTGAACTACAGACAGTATTTTATGCTTTAATATTTTATTATATTCTTGGTTTAGTTTCGACTAAACCAAGAATCATGTATTTGTTTTTCAGTTTTCCTCAAGAACTTCACTCATATCACTTGCATATCGCATCCAAGAGTATACGCTGAATAGTAGCGTGTATAAGCCAATGGTATTATTGGATGCGATATGCAAGTGATAAACTTCTATTCCCTCAAAACCCCTACTCAGACGTGCCTCAAGAAGTCAATTAAAGGAATTAATTTGACCTTAAGCAATTACGAAGTTGAGGTCCCAGAGTACATTTTGCAAGTGTGCGATAAATTGAGATGATTCATAAGAGCTTCTGAGGGACTTAGGATCGATTGACTGTATCTATACTAATATATAAAGATGAAACATTTGTTTGTCTGTTTGAACGCACTAAACTCAGGAACTACGACGGGAAGGAACGCAGACGACGTCGTTGCTAACAGCTGAAGTTTATAAAGATGACGGGGTTTGCAAAAACTAATTTGGATGCCCAAAATAACGATTTTCGCGGACGAAATCGCTGGCAAAGACAGTATTTAAATACGAGTTATAATGGTTTAAAACACGAAATGTATTAGTTAAACTTATGTCATCATCATCAGTGGCTGTACAGCCCCTTGTGGGCCCTAGCCTCCTCTAGTCGTTTTTTCTTAACTTTTGGTTTCATAATCTGGTGTATTTCGACTGGGCTGGTGATTGGCCATCCGCAGTCTAGGCACTTGGTGGGGCTGCCACCTGAGGCTTGTGCCTGGCCCTTTGTTTTCGGGTTTTGTCCCTTCTCTGTACGATCTATTAAACGTGTTTTATTTTAAATATGTACAACTCACGTAAACTACAGATAATACTTAAGGCAATATATTGTTTCATGACTTTGGAGGGATTGGAACCATAGGGTTATGTTCTAAGACTCTTACAGTTGTGATTATCTCAATTTATAATTTACTAGCTGTTTCAACAATAGTTATTTTAGGCATCCAAATTTGTGTTTTGAAAATCTTCTAATATTTATAAGTTTTAGCTGTTACCCACGACATCAGTCGCGAGCTTCTGGTCGCGACGGATGGCGGTTCAGGTCCCGTTATTTTTGCAAGTTAATCTTTAAAGACAGTGTCGCCGACATTTTTTACATTACGTTTAAAGAGGAATCATTCTTAGATACGTATTATTTTTGTATCTTGAATAGCAAACGCGTCGGAGATAAATAATTTCCCCCGTTTTTTTCCACATTTCCCGCTGTTTCTCCGCTCCTATCCGAACCAGTAGCTCCTGCGATTAGCGCGCTCAAACTCTTCAGCTTTCTATAATAGTATAGATTTATACTTTGTCTATCTTAGCATAAAGGCCGATTTGGTATGGGGTAGTTATTATTGTAGGTATTATATTATTAGTGTATGTCGTTTATCTACAAATATAATCTAAAGAAAGACAGTCCTTGTCGCGTATCATCTAATATATAAAATTATCGTGTCACAGTTTTCGTTGCCATACTCCTCCGAAACGGCTTGACCGATTTTGATGAAATTATTTGTGCTTATCCGGTACCTATGAGAATCGGCCAACATCTATTTTTCATCCCCCTAAATGTTAGGGGTAGTCCACCCCTAAATGTTTTTATTTATATTTTAGACAAAATTTTTAATTTTTATTTTTTTATGATACAACATACAAAAATACATACAATCCTCAATTTTTCCTCTTCTACGATCAACCCTTATTTTTTAATAGCCATTTTAGTAATTTAATCATTTTTCCTCTTCTGAAATTATATATGGCAAAACAACGTTTGCCGGGTCAGCTAGTAAGTTTAAAGATTTGATGATTGCCCCCCATTTTTTTCTAATCTGTCAAAAATGTCATCCTATATTAGGCAAAGTATAGTGTAATGATGTACGCCCATTGTAATTGTAGAGCAGTGTAGGTACTTAGCCTTGAATATTTTTATCTTTATAAGTGCCAAAATACTTTGAGACAACAGTTATCTCTCTATTTAGGGCACGGTCAATTACGGCGAATTTTAACCGTGTTTTTTTATGATAGATGAGAACAGACAGAGGATATTTTTAGCTTTGGATATTCGGAAATCCACAGACTGCAACCAAAACGCGATTAAACTTTTCGGCTACTTTATCTGTGGAAAATTATAAATTGCTTAGAAAAATGTTAAACCCGGTGTGATCGAAATCACGACTCCTTGATTATGTTACGCTATAAATTGGTATTAGTAGACCAACGAGCATTAACTATTTTCTAACACTTGCAACAGTTTTAAACTTAACTTATTTACCGACGAGGCTTTATATTTGACAATATTCTTCTGTAAGGCATCCGTGGGTCTCAAAATGGGTCGTGGTAAAAATTAATTAACCCATATACTTCAGGATTCAAACCGCTATAATTTTAGGTATTTAAGTCTGCATTGTTCAACAGTTTGAATGAAATTAGACCTTTTTCAATGTTAATAAATCACATTGTAATCTATTTGAAATGAGTGATATCGTTTATTCTATATTGCTTACAGACATTTATGAAAAACTTGATAGACACGTTGAAACCTACACAGCGATAACATAAGAATCTCATTTGACATCTAAGTCTTATCTAAGATAGGCAAAGTCTCGTTTGACAAAAAAAATGCACCTATGTACCTATATGTAAAAAATGCGATACATATTTTTTATATACATAGGGCGAATACATCTCTGTGCCCGCTATATTGATCTATTTATATTGTCAATATAAATATTGTCTTGAATATTCTTGCTTTTATCTTATTTTTTATTTCGGAGTGTAGGAACGCTGCCATTTGTGTATATAGACTGTGAAAAAAATATTAAGGGTTAAAAAAACCTTTTTATAAGAACGACACTATAACTTTTCGAATTACCTGGATGTTACTGGCTCAATTTATAAATTATTAATTAAATATTTCACATTTAGCTACAGAGGCGGTAATTTGACGTTATATGACATAGTATATAATATCTGTACTAATATATAAAGCTGAACAGTTTGTTTGAACAGGGTTTAAATTGAAAATTTATTTTTGTGCATAGCTTTTATTGAAAAAGGTGCTTCGCTACTATAGTCACATCGCTGTGACTATAGGAGCGAAAAAGAAGCGGGAAATGTGGAAAAATCAGAGAGAATTATTAATCTTTATGGATTTCCGCTACAATATGTATGAAAGAAGCATTCCTCTTATAATTATCTCATAAAATGTCCGCAACAGTATATGTATGACTTCTAAGATAAACTTCTAAGGAACGACGGGTCGAGGGCGTCGAGACTTAAAATTATAAAAGTGAAGAGGTTGGCAAAAACAAATTTAAATGCACAAAGTGATTATTCCACGCGGACGAAGTCGCTGACACAGCTAGCTATAAATATATCTAGCTAGATTTGAATAACGTCGGACGCTTGTCATACTGTGTAACATCACGAGGATGTTCCATTATTCTCTGCACAACCATTATTGCATTACTTTAGAACCACTAATTTGCTATTAATTTGACCCTCATTATTTTCATTATATATGGTGACGTTAAAGAATTAAGTTATTCTACAATGTCAGCGTTGACGGTGCTAAATTACAGGTGTGTGCGCATTGCGATGTAAACGGTGGAAAACTGTACATACATTTCGTTTTCATTTTCATTTTAACGAACTGATCAAGGGACAGTCTAAACTGCCACGATCTGCGTAGCGACTCGAAATTTCGAGGTCTTGATATGATAAATTTAAGGATTTTAAACGCGTAAGTCGTGGCCACGGCTGTTGCAAAGTATCCGAAACGACAGAACAAATCTATACTAATATTTAAAAGCTAAAGAGTTTGTTAGAACGCGATATTCTCAGAAACTACTGGTTCAACATGAAACATTATACTATATTACTTTAGTCTTGGTTGGAACATTTATCGAGGAGGCTATAAAACATCAGGTGACCAATAAACGCGAAGAAAATGCGGTAAAAATTATTTTATGAGAACTTATTTCAACTGAAAACAGTTCAAGAATCCAAAAAAATATATAAAAGAACGATTCTCCTTTAAATTATCTAAAAAATGCCTGAGATATTAGTATATTCGAGTAACAGCAAAAATGGATAGAGCTGAGGAGGGTGGGCAAAAATAAATAATTTGATTTCCAAAATTAAGTCTGATCCATTGACACAAATATCTTCGCCCCATCATCCACACAAGGGGAAACGGGATTTTTCTTGATTATTACTTGAGTTCTTTACGTACATGTCACGAGATTGAAGGAAGGCCATATTTTTTCGTGGCAATTGATTACTTTGATTTTACTGATAAAATATTTGGTTTTAAAGTCTAAGGACTATCTAATATTTAATTACTTGATAACAGAATTAATATGACTCTGCTGTAATTATGTGACAATTATAATATATTGTTGTCGTTCTTGGTTACATTTAGATGTAAGACAGAAAAAATCTTAGAATTCTCAACATTATTTACTAGTCTGTAGTTTACACGAGAAGTACACATTTAAATGAAACACTAACTGTTAAAAACGTGAAATGTATTAGTTAATTCATTTACAATTTATTTTAACAACGGCCCGACGTTTCGGATGATTTGCAGCACCCTCGGTACGGGGCTGTAGTTAAAATAATATTCAAATATTATACTTCGCGTTTTAAACCGTTAAAGTATTTTTAAACTAAACTGAGTGGATCTAATACTTTCTTTATATATAAGAGCCCTTGTTCACTTAGCTACGCAACTGCCTACAGGTCGTGAGGCAAACCTAGTCTTCGCAAACAATCTCCAAGTCATACCTACTCAAATTTCTAGAACAAAGACGTAGAAACCTGAATCGTGTTTAGACACGGGATCGTAATTACTAGTACTTAGCCGGTATTTACGCCGCCTATTTAGATAATACAAAAGGACATGTTTGATAGAAACGTTATCTTTGTTTATTTGTATAAAGCAATGCGTTAGTAAAATCCCTGTAGGGCATGAGACATTTATTTGCCTTTAATACTCAAAATTATATATATCAAACTATTTAAATAAAACACTTTAACGGTTTAAAACGCGATATATTAGTTAAACTTATTTGAAGTTGTTTCGGATGCTTTGCAGCAGCCGTGGTCACGGGGAGGCCGTGACGCATCCGAAACGTCGGGCTGAAGTTAAAAATCATTTTCAAATATGTTTAACTAATATATCGCGTTTTAAACCGTTAAAGTGTTTTATTTAAATGTGTACTACTCGCGTAAACTATAGACAGTATCTATATCAAACTAGCTTCCGCTTATTACTTTGTTATGTTACTTTTGTATAGTGTCTTATTTTATAAAATATTGTGTTTTTACCAAATGTAAGTTATACAAATTTGAATTTCTTATGTACAACAAAGACTATGTATGTGTTAGTTTGTTTTTTACACGATATTATACAATCTATAATAGCAACATTTATATCAGCGCCCCTACTGTTGCCCAACCAACCGGGGCTGTCGACAGATTCAGCCGTTTTTAGTCTTAAAAATACGGTTAACTTTTACAAAAGTCGTAATACCTCAATATATGCGTGCTTTCTAGACTTATCTAGGGGTTTTGAACTTGTAAATTATAATTTGCTATGGGAAAGGTTATTAGGGCATAACGTGCCACTGAAAACTGTCGGTCTGTTGAGGTTCTGGTACGAGAACCAAACCAATTGTGTTAAATGGGGTGACTCGCTATCCAGTGAATAATGACTGGATTGCGGAGTACGCCAAGGGGGGCTGACCTCTCCGGACCACTTCAGCATTTACGTCAACGATTTGATCGCTGAGCTGAGAAGCACTCATGTCGGTTGCCATATTGGTAATGTGTGTGTCAATAACCTAATGCATGCAGACGACATGGTACTTCTCAGCCCTTCGATTAACGGGTTAAGGCGAATGATTTCCATCTGTGAAAAATATGCACTGTCACATGGCTTAAAATATAATACGGCAAAGACAGAAGTAATGGTGTTTAGGGCTGGAAGAGGTCCGGATCATGTGCCCAAGGTATATATGAACGGCGAGGCGATAAAAGTGGTTGATAAGTTTAGGTACTTGGGGCACGTATTAACTGCTGCTGACGATGCTGACGTTGAACGTGAAAAACGATCACTTGCCGTACGATGTAACATGCTGGCGCGTCGCTTTGCCAGGTGTGAAAAGATTGTATAAAACGTATTGCCAGAGTTTTTACGCCTGTCAACTTTGGTGTAATTTTACTTGGAGGTCCTACAATGCGTTAAGAGTACAGTATAATGATGCCTTTCGTATTTTGGGGCTTCCGAGGTTTCGCAGTGCGTCCGGCATGTTCGCCGAGGCAAGGGTATCGGACTTTTACGCGATCTTAAGAACGAGTACGGTCGCATCATTTTGGAGTCGCGTTAACACGTCACCGAATCTCATAGTACAAACTTTCTCCGAGTACCTAAGCAATCCCATTTTAAGGAACTGGGCAAAAGTGCACGCAGACAGCAACTGCAAATAAACAGTTATGTTAACTGATTAGTATTATTATTATTTTTTTTTTCATTTTTTATATGACATACATATTTGTAAGATGTTTTAATATCTAATTTTGATCCAAATAAATATTTTTTTACGGGTCGAGCTAAATGAAACCTTTTAATAACAGTAATTGATCGGCTTCCTGCATATTACCACTTACGTACTTACTACAACGTTACGTACTTACTAAAACTTCCCGCTGGTAGAACGCCTTACTATCAACAGACGGTAGGACTTAGTAAAGTATGCGTTCTATTACAGTCTATCTTAAGTACATTTATTTCATTATGAAATTCGGTCGTACTACTCACCTAGTTGCTTAGGCAATATTAGACTTGAGAATGATGCAACATGATAAACCTCAAGACACTCATCAAAGTTTATCAAAGATAGTATAAATATTTGGATAATGTAAACATTATGTAAGAAAACTGTTACAAATAACAGTTACAGTATATCACATTAAAAATCGATTTTACCTTGAAACAAATTTACGAAGGGCAAGACTTGAACCGGCATCCACAGAGTTTCGTGCGGTTGCTCTAACCAAAGCAACCTTGTCCTCACATCATCGTCGATTTTTTCAATCCGTTGATACTTTCATGCTACCCGTGTCGAAAAAAAATTAACTAAAATTTTTATTTAGTTCATCTTAAATTTATTAAGTTTTTAATCGTTTCCGCATTTTACCTGAAGCAAATGAAAATTTAAGGCGAGTTTCTTGCCAGTTCTTTGTTCAAGTTTTCATTTGAGGATAGTGATACATGGCACGGCGGAATTTTAAAAAAGAAAAACTATAAATTAAATATTGTCTATAGTTTACGCGATTTGTAGTAATAGTAACTAATATATCGCGTTTTAAACTGTTTAAGTGTTTTATTTAAAGCTATAAATTGATAAGAAAAGTGTTGGCGCCGCGGGGACCCACGAACTGTTAATGTTAATTGTCAGCCGTACATTGCTACCATTTCACCAACGAGCCCGTCTTACATTTTCTATGCTTTTGTAAATGCAAACAATCCTTTAATATCTGATGGCCCTTAATAAATACATAAACTATTATCGTCAGAAGTATAAATAAGACGCGTCTTTGTTTATTTGAACTTTTAACCTGCGGACTGCATGTTGATAACGTTGGTCATCCTTTCTCAATGCTAACAACATTGACTAGCTGTGTCAGCGACTTCGTCCGCGTAGGATAGTTATTTTGGGCATTCAAATTTGTTTTTACAACCCTCCTCTTCATCTTTAAAAATATTTGTTTGTTACCCACGACGTCGGTCGCGTTCCGGCGCTGGCACCACGTCGTGGACATTTTTTAGATCATTGAAAGATAAATTATTCATTTCTACATATTATTTGGGTATTTTGAACCGTTTTCGCAGCGTACGCAACAAAAACCTGCATAGATGATAAATTTTCCCCATTTTCTCCACATTTCCTGTTGTTTCTCGATCCTATTAGTCACAGCTAAACTAAATTATGTATATTAGTATAGATTACATATCTGTCTTTCAGATTCCAAGTATGCACGCTGATGCTCTTCAGCTGCTGCGCCTGGGCTAAGCAAATGACGGATATAGAGGCCCTGCAATCAGCACCAACAAGATGTACTTATGAATACGCATTTGACATGTATGGTGCGCACTGTGGGGGTCTTCGGCTCAATAAGATACCGAGCCTCAGAGCTGGGATTGAGGTTTGGTGCTTTTCTGACTGGACTATCTGTGTCAGCGAGTTATAATAAGTAGAATAATTATTTTGGGCATTAAAATTTGTTTTTGCAAACCTCCACCACAAATAAATTCTATTAAATGTTACCCACGACGTCGGTCGTGTTTAGTCGTTCTAGCAAATTAATCTAAAGGACATAATATGTCAGTATCTTATACTGTCCTAGACATCTTTTTACATCATCATAGAAGAATAATTCTTTGATACATATTATTTTTTCTATTTCTTCGGTCCTATTCAAAACATGATGCTTTATAGCCTAAAGTCTTCCTCGATAAATGCTCTAAACAAGACAAAAATATAAATAATTTTCGATACAGTTCCTGAGATAAGCGCGTTCAAACAAACAAACTCTTTAGCTTTATATATTAGTATAGATAAAATACCAATGACACAAGTATTGCCTTGTTAACGTGTATAGAAGGAACTTAATAGGACTTCAAATTATTTAAACCGGGACAGAATACGGCGACATATGAAATCCCGTTTCTCTATATGCGATAGGCCGAACACATTTTTGTGTCCGTTTCTCTGATTACTTAATGAGACTTTTGTTCCTGCCACCTATTGTTTTCCCGAGATTAGAATATAGGACGCCTCGTGTAAAGCTAGGCAATATGTTTTACCATTTAGCTACCGAGTCATCTTTAACTATACCTATACTGTAAATACTCCAGCGTTAAATTGTAGACAATAAAACTGTGTACTTTCTGACCTACAAAAAATGATTTAATTTTCCTGAAAACCAAACGATACTCAAAATGTAGACAATTTACCATTGTAAACAGTTACTCATATTCTTTTAAAAACAAACAAATCATTATGAAATGTGTCTATCAATTTAATTGAGAATTCTTAATTATTTTTTCCGACATTAGTTTGAACGAACATTATCTACGATGATAAAACCGTAGTTTAAGATAAGTATTTTTTATCTTGACGCGGTTATCTTGAAGTTTTATACTTACTTGTAAATTAGAGTACTGTCTTCATATGGTAATAAATTGTTTAAATTTTCCTTAGATAACGCCTGTTTGTGGTTCAAATACCCTTAATACAAAGATAAGTCTCTCTGCTTTCATATATTGTCAGGTTAAGATGATGTCCTACTTACGTGTTACGAATATTTACGAAACTTAAAAACTATATTACTTTGATTGCACTAAAATAATAAAAGTGTCATTATATAAATGAAAAATCTATTTGCAAATATTGTCTGTAATTTACGCCAGTAGATCACATTTAAATAAAAGATTTTAACTGTTTAAACGTCGGACCGTAGTTAAAAAAATTAACCAATATATTTCCATTATTAGCTTCGCCATTAATTGTATAATTTAAATCTTTACATAGAAAAGAATAGATGTCACTCAATTCGTTATTGTTAAGGTGAAAATTACATTGCGCGAGAGATGCATTACAAAAGTTTGAAGAAATTTGATAATGACGTTTGAGACACAAAAGTCATTTAGTTATAGCACAGATCACTATGGATGCCGATTCGAGTCCCTATGCCTATGCCTATATCATTTTTTTATTTTAAATACATTTTTAGTTTATAATTATAATTCTCTCGTTTTGTCCATCTTAATTTCTCTGAATCTGTCTTGTCATTGTTTTCAGATTCTCGACTTCAGCGACAACAAACTTCAAGAAATACACGACGACACATTATCCTCATACACGAGCATAAAGTTCCTCTACCTATCCGAAAATCAAATATACTCAATAGATGACAACGCGTTCTCCTATCTAACTAATCTCCAAAGTCTGGATCTGTCGAAGAACGTCATCTTGACACTACCAGAAACTATTTTCCACTTGCCAACGCTACGCAATTTGTATTTACACGGTAACCCATTATTGCATTTGCATTTGAGCAAAATGCAATTAAGCAAGCCAATTAGAGCACCACTTGAATTGCTGGATTTGTCTGAATGCAAGCTGAAAGTCTTACCGGATTGGGGTGTTCTGCCTCAACTTTATCTCTACAATATATCTCATAATCCCCTAACGACTATCGATGCGCAACACTTCAGTCCGATGTGCAAGCTATCGAAAGTAGACCTGACAGGATCCATAGATGACCTCCAGCTCTGCGATATGAGGATGACCATAACGTGGTTTCAGATAAGAAACGTCTACTTCCTATTGGATGACTATACGAGATTGAATTCAAGAGGTAACAAAATGGATTGCTTTAAAAGAAATTCGTTTTTCGATGTTATGTATTGGCCAGGCTTTTTTTGAGCCCGTTTCACTTTTGAGGAGGTCAGACAAGTGTGATGTTCACTTGGTAGTAGGTGAAATGACCCAGCCATGAAATATAAACAACATGCGCTGTCGACCTATTTTGGCTTTGGATATTCGGAAATCCACTTTACAGCTTTCTCATCTGTGGACGGAATTTCGATATTCCTACCACTAATTTAATATTTACAATTCCAGACAAAGTCTAACATGTTTCAGAAAAATTGTAAACCGAATATTAAACAAGAGCATCACATAAATTTCCCAAGATTCTAACCTCAAACATCACTGTGGAAACTGTGTATAAACATAATGTAATGTTTCCTTTTCCAGAATTCGAAAATTGTCCAAAGGTGGCGCCACCAGACAATCTCAACATAACATACCAAGAATGTCGACAATTATACACTAAGGTAATATTAAGATGTTGTTTGCTTAGCTTTCAAAATCTTTATATGTTATTAAAATATACGCCGTTGTTGAGGCAAAAATAAACTGTTTATTTAATCAAATACAATCCCAGTATATAAACTCATTAAGATATAAAAGCTATAAATCTAGTATTTTTTTATTTCAGACTCAGAATACCAAGTCGTCCCGTCGTACATGGCTGACAATTGGTGGAGGCTTGGCTGGTTTCCTTGTGGGATTCGTTCTTCTTTTGTACGTTATGCACCGACATAACGTAGCACAAACTAAGAAAGCTGATAAAGAGACCAAGAAAATTCCACCAGATGGCGACAAGCAGGCCTCGGCCGTGCTTCTAAATAATGCAGCATAAAAACTTCATAATATTTGTATTGTAATACAAACTAGAATAAATTCACAGCGTTAATATATAGCTTAGGTAATGTTGGTAGCACTAAATTATAATATAGTACCTACTATATCATGATAGAAGAACTAATAGAAGCTTTAAAAGGCTGATTAGACTAAATCCAAAGATTCAAAATCGGATAACATCTATGTTTTAGTAATTTAAGCTAAGTTAGTATTTTGTCTCTATCACGCGCGTTACAAATAACATTTAAATGACAGGGACAAAATATAGCATATAGGTGTGTATACAGATTTATAACCTCTTCAAGATACGTCAAAGAATAGGGCGTGAAATGAATGTGATTTTTTTGCAGTAGTTATTGAAAAATATGTAATAATTTCAAGTAGTACATAGATTCTGTTGCAATGTATAAAAGAGAATCTCCAGCTGTGAATAGTAGTCTTAACAACCAGGGTCTAATAAAACGAGTTAATGGAGCGTTGTCTCTTTCACACAATTCAACAAAGAACAAGGTGGCAAATGATTAGAAAAACAAATCACAATACCGATTTACTTGCTTCAGTGAATATGCTGAAATAACAATTAGTATGTTTATAATTTAAGTTTGCTATATTTTGGTTTTAATAACCCCTTATTAGTTAAGGAAAATGTTCTACAAACTGCACTCAACTTTAAATTAGGATATCCACAAAACATGGATTCGCAAAATTTCTTTCGTATAACGTTAAGGAGTGTAAGATTTATATAAGACCTTTTGTGCCTTAGTTTATACCAAAGAAGTTCAAATTAGGACTGTTATCCTTATATTTGACTATAAGTGGATGTATAACTAACTCTCTGTGATAAAGACAATATTAAAAACTATTTTATATAACTCGTTTTTCGTATTCTACAAATGAAACTGCATTGTGCTAAAAAGAATTATATTTAAATGATGAAATAAAACAAGTGAAACTAAAAATCGCGAGGAATATTAAACATTATTTTAAAGACTGATTCCTTATGAACGTGAAATTTCCAAGGCATTCGTATTGCATGTAAACGGTAATAAAAACATTTTGAGTTAACACAAACAGCTGTTCCCTCAGTTGGCAAGTTCAAGAGACCCCCGTCTACTGTCTTCGAGGAAACTTACTGAATGCCAGCGTCAGGATAATTCCGTTGATTGTTGTCCAAGATTAGGGTATCCATTTTCATATCTCAAGTGTCCTTTTTTTCGCTTTCGTTCACCGTCTTAGCGGGTGCGGCGTCTTTCGCTATGCGCTGTTTACTGAATTTTCCCATTCCTGGCTGGTAAATTACAAGGCTAGGCCGATCCTATAAATATATAAAAAAATCTATTAAATTCAAAACTATTTATTGCCCTTTTAACATATATTAATAATAGATAGATAAGAATGGCAATTGATACCGGTCTCAGCTGTGCTGCTGAACGTTTGTCACACTCAGCAGCTGGTCTGGTTTTCAGATCGGTCCGGGTTTAGTAGAAGGAGAGTAAAGTTAAATATCTTGTATTAAAGAGTGTAAAAAATTTAAATAAACTAAAATTGATTAATTTATTTCATGTTACATTGAATTACAATTAAATGAAAACGAATGACCGGCTCTATAGCTCAATGCTTAAAATGTTGCCTTCCACTGCAGCATTAGAGTTCCTAGTTTCGAATAGTTGTGTGCCAACAATAAATTGACCAATCCGACGGCCATAGAAGGCTGATCAAATACTTGTCATAAACAGAATAAGAGGAACATAATATACACTTTCAAATGGTCATAATTAAAACAAATTGTCTTACCTTATTCCTGATTCTCTTCTCTGTACGGCGTTCGCTACTTTCACTCTTCTCTTTTTCCTCAGAATCTTCTCTCTCTATAGACTTACTTCTGTCCTCATAAGATATCTGCTTTTCAAGCATACATTCGTCTGGCGATGCAAGATCACCAGGTTCTAGACTATTTCTTCTTATTTTAGTATTGCTTGCTTTTTCATTTTCTTTTCTATTGGTGAAAACATCATCATTGGAGTCTTTTAATGATTTTGACTCTTCACCCTTCCACTTGCTTTCAAGAAGTTTAGTTAAATCCTCAGTTTTCACTTGAGGCAGCTGAGTGAATGGCTTTATGTCATCATGATTCATTGACTTGAGTTTTTCTGACATCATTTTGTTTATAGCTGATTGCTTATCTGATTTTCCATCAGCTACCTTGTTTTTTTCTTTCCTTGTATCACTATATTTTTTGATTTTCTGGTCGCGAGGTGATTCTGACGACTTTTCGCTCTTATCCTTCTTTGCGTCGGCTTCTTCGAAATCTTCATCATCTTTGTAACCTTTTTTGTCATCCAGTCTTTTCTTTCTGTCAAGACCAGACCCATAACCTATCTTGCGATCTTTGTAAGATCTTGTTTCATAAACATCACTATCATCCTTTAATTCATTGTTAGACTTGTCTTTGTCCCACTCCCTCGGTTTAATTTTCTTAACATCACCCTCAATTGTATCTTCTTCCTTTAATATAAAGTAACATAGATATATAAAAATTATAAATCTAATTATTTAGCTAAACACTTGTTTATTGAAAAATAGAACTCTACTTAAGGTACAATGGTTGTTTACTACACCACAAGATATACGAACTAAAATTACTAGTAACATACAATACTACTTTAAATTAAACAACAGTACATCAGCTCTGTAATTCAATAAGAAAAAAAGAACCTTGGGAATAGTATCACCACCAGATTTTAGACTATGGTCAACAGTTGTTTGACTATCAATCAGTTTCGATGAAGTTAAAGTGAATGTATTATGTATTTTCATTGTGAGAGCTGGAAACTGCAGGTCCCAATCAGAGTCTGTTCCAACTAGGTCATCAGAGCCATGACATGTCACAGTTTCAGGGTCAGGAGGTGAAATATTATAGCTTTTTGTTTTATGGTATACCCTTTGCTCTCCATACCAAGAACTCTGCTTATTATGTTTATTTACAAAATCATTTCTATCATGATAGCCTTCATCTTCGGATAGATCACCATATTTCTGATATATTAACTTGTTTAAGTATAAGGGAATGTATAAATCATAGTAGATCCATAAAAGGTTTTAAAAAGGGGAAATATTGTGTAGTGCAAGTTTTAATCTTTTTATTATTTTAAGCGGTAACTCTGCTTTTGTTTCATATAGAGTAATTAAGATTTAATTTTTCATAGCTTTCAGATTAAAAACACATGCATTGTCAAACTCAGTGACAGCTTACTTACCCTGATAGAACAATCTTTAGATTTCCTTTCAATTCTCATTTTTCGTTTGTCATTTTCTCTCCTGCGTCGTTCATCCCTTCCTCTCTTGTCTTGTTTCCGGGCCGCTAGATACTCAAGCAACGGCGTTGTTTGAACTTTCTTATCATTGCCTGTAAAAAATTATCATAATCTATAAAGTGTTTTCCTTTTATTGTAAATTCATAATGATTTAACTTTTAAACAATCAATTTTTTTTCAGAACACTGACGAATGGTTCAAGTCCTGTCGAGTCGAAAAGTTTTTTAAATGTATTTTCGATTTTTAAATTATATAGTAATGCTATGGTAAGAAGCCCCATGTTAAAAGATGTCGCCTTCTACATATTACCTTAGGTTTGATTGCAGTAAAACAAACAGAGAGTGAAACAGGACAGGAAAATATGAGAATTACCTAAAATGTTTAATAAAGAAAGAGATATTTCTCCTACCATCATTTACAGGATAAGAATACTCCAGTTTGGGCTGATTGTCAACCTCTTGATCTTTGTTTAGGTTTTCTAAAAATTCCTGATAAATGGGGTCACTCTCCAATGTTCCACATTTAGGGTCCTTCTTCTTCTTTTTCTTAGGTATTCTTTGAAATGGTGCATACTCCACTATACCTACATGCTCAACACCTGGAATAATAAATATTAAAAAATAAGCCATTTGTTATTTTGCAACATTCTTAACTTACATAGAGTTTTAATCTTAATTGTTTAATTAAATAGTAATACTCCTGTAAACTACATATTATATACTTGATTACAAGTTTATTGAATGATATAGAACAAGAGTGGTACAATCAGCATTAAGCTTAAATAGTGTAAGGCTTTAAGCATTAAGGCATCATAAAATGACTGAAATATATATTTTGAAACATTTTGTAACCTTCCGATTCTACGATAAAGACTTAGTATACAAATCATAGTTGGACTGATAGATATGAAAATAAACATACCTTTTTCATCCAGAAAAACATACCCATCAAATTTATCTCTAAAGAGATATATATCGTCAACATTCACAAAGTTTATGTAAGCTCTTGAATAAAGATTGTTCCCAAGTGAAGAGTCTGGTTTAGCAAAGTAGAAGTAGTCATGTTCAGGAATTGGCGACACCTGCTCAAGAAACGCTTCCTCTGTCATAGAAGACGGTAGCCGTCTTAATATTATCTGAAACGAATTGAACACATTTTATTTTAATGAGTGTATTTATTTATACACAATCAGAAATGTAACAGCATTGGCAGCTCACTTTTGTCAGTGGTCGATGTGGTTTCGCCTTTTTATCTTTATTTTTGTTGACGAATGTTTTGCTGCCAGAGTCCGAATGTGAATCTTTTGCATCTTGATCTTCCGTCATTTTTATCGTTTTTAGAAAACGCTTGTATTATAATTTCTTATCATGGTTCAAATAATTGAACAAGAACACTGAATAGTGAATTATTCTAAATAGATATTATGTACCATATCAAATGTCAAATGCCAGCAAACAACGCATCATATTATGACACTGACAGTTACCAAAATGAGATTCAATAGACTATTATAACAATTAAATTAAATTTTAACTTGACTAAAAATATATCACCTAAATAAGATTTTTTGGATAATATTGTATGCCTAAATAAGAGATAAATACAATTTTATTTCTTTTGTAAGTATGCAAAGAGTAAACAGATGTCCATAACAGACTAGAAATAGACAATAGTAAATTGTCATTTAATTCTTATATTTGAGGTTATAATTAAGATCAATAGAGAGAAAAATAATACTAGAATTTAAAATTAATATTAAACCAACAAAGTTGTAACAATGTCTAGTTGGATTGCAATAACTAGGCAGCTGAGGCAGACCAAAGTCATGTTTAGTCGGAACATTTGCAGGTCGAATATATGCCATTCGGAAAATGTTGATACAAATTCTGCAGATAAAGTTGGTGGATTTGCAAAGGCTTATGAAAAACAGAGTCACATACTTGATGTTGAGAGCACTCCTCCACCCACATTTGCATCGCTTTTACGGAATTCAAAACTAGTCGATGTAAGTTTTATGTGATAAGTATATTGTATAATATGCCTTAAAGTGATCAAAGATGGATATTTTTGAAAATAATTATTTGTATTTGATGTTCCAGCTAGGAGATCCTGTCGGAAAGATTGTGGTAGGTAAGATATTTCATGTAGTAGAAGACGATTTGTATATTGACTTTGGCTGGAAATTTCATTGTGTGTGCCCAAGACCATCTATCAGGGCTGAAGATTATGTTAGAGGAGCAAGAGTAAGAATCCAAATCAAGGATCTGGAGCTATCATCAAGATTCCTCGGTTCTAGTACTGATCTAACCCTTTTAGAAGCTGACTGTAAATTACTTAGTCTTGTATCAAGTCCAGTGAAATCCAGTGAAAAGACGACATAGTTATATTTGATTAATTCATAGTATTTAATTTAGCTCTAGAAATAAATAGTTTTTACTTGACATACACTAATATTATTTAAATATCAAAATGTTTGTATTTTATTCAAAAGGACTATATATACTAGTGGCCCATCCCAGCTTCGCACGAGTAAACATAAATAGGTACATATATTTAAATTAAAAGCATGCTAATTAAAACGACCATGAATCACTACATTAGAAAAAAATCGTATTGCGCGTCCGAGCTGTTAACCACCGTTGTATATCTCGCTGTGTCAGGAGCCGCTGCGAGCGTTCAGTGTTAGAGTCCCGTGCACGCGTTCGCGAATTTCTAGCTCTATTTCGTTCGTATACCTGCGACGATCTTGCATTTTGTTCTGCAAGACTAACTAGACGCTAGATTCTCTGGCTCGAAATTGGGACGCGTACACTCTCATACTTTCCAGACGATAATTTTAAGGAGAAGACTCCAATGCGACGAGCTAATCTCGCTTGGGTACTATTCTTAGGTATTTACTTTAAATCAAAGAAATTAAGAATAAACTAATAATAATACAAAAGAAAATATTCAAGTTAATATCATCAATCAAAGTAATTCAAGAAATAATTCCGAAAAGAACTTTGACAAATATTATGCAAAGTGTGATTCCTGATACTAAAACTAAGTAACTCTGAAAAAAACTTTAAGTGCAGCATAAAAATGTGAACAAAATATCGAAATATTCAATGCCGCTCGCGGCATCTCGCGATTCGCGGCGTGGTGGCCGCCGCCGGCATAAATTTTTATTTTAATCTCATGATATCTTTTGAATGGAATGTCCGATTTCAATGATTAAAAAGTAATCATCAGGTATTGAGACAGTCTTGAATATTAAATTATTTATTTGGATAAAATTGTATAAATGGTATGGATAACACGGTCTAATTTTGTTTGGTATTTCTATCAATTTGTTAAATGTAAAAAAGTAGTTATAGTGACATAACTACAATAGTTAGACATATGGTCTCGAGATATTTTTTGTAGATATTGATATAATCTATAATATTGTCGAACATTTTTTGTCCTATCAGAAATACTTTTCGTAGGGTATGCGATGAAAGATATTTTATGGCTTATTTTTTTTCTATAGTAATCTAGTACTATGTTACCCAGTGATAATGTAGCTTTCTAATAAAAAAATAATTATTAAAATCGAACCAGTACTTTTTGAGTTTATCCGTTACATACAAAAATAAAAACCTTTCCTCTTTATAATATTATTATAGATTGCTTTCTGTCTGTCCTCCTCTATAAAAAAATATTTAAAACTAAAATGAAATTCCATGTATGGTTCAACATTATAATTGACATCAAATTTAATCGGACATAATATATTTGAACATTACCTAACACACAGTATAAGAAACATTATTGTCATTTTGTAAGATAAAGATCACTGGATATTTATTATAAAGCTTATTAAAATAAATATATTTATAATAAAACTTTAAAGTATGCAAGTAGATAAATATAGTAGATAAAATGTAATATTGTCATTCAGAAGCTAAATCAATATGGTTATATTTAGAAAGATATTGAAACTAAAATTAATATCACAGTCTTAAATCAAGTAATTGTAACACAGCAACATAATTTAGGATTTCACTCTATTAATTGTATGCTACCTACTTTAACAGTTGCATTATTATACAGATTTCAAAAGTAGTATGTTTTGCTATTTATCTTTATTCAAGATCGAATTCTATAAACGTCCTATCTAGAAAACATATCTCAAATCCAATATTCCTTCTTCATATCGTCAATGGTGGCCAAACTGAATATTAGACATGGCTAAATGCAAGCAAGAATACTGAATTAAATAAATAGGATATTAAATACAACACCTATTAAACTGTCAAATACTAACATTATTAAAAATTTGATTTCTAACCAACGGACCCTATACACTGATTTCCTTCAATTTACTTTATCCCCGTTTCGTTTCACTATTTCACGGATGCTCGGATCGTTCACTGGGTCATCTGCTTGGGGCTGCACATCAAGGATATCGTCTACGGTTGATATTGAACTCTCTGGCTCAATACCGAGCGGATGAGATTCTTCCCACTTCTTAAGGTATTCCACTACAGCTGTGTGTCCAAATGTTTCTGCCTCATTTAGGGGGCGACTGCCCCAACGGTCCTGTGGGTCGTGGGGTACGTTGCACTGAGCCAGTAGGAATTCCACGCATGCTAAATGACCCTCCGCAGCAGAAAGGTGTAAAGCAGTCCTGCCGTCGTAATCAGCCAGTGTCATGTCCATCCCAGAGAGATGTTGCCTGGATAAATAGATTTTAATTTATTTAGTGCTAAAATGTTAGTAACCTGGTACAAAGCTAGCTACGTCATATTGCTGTTCGATTTGAAGCAGGCGTTGAAACAAGATAATCAAAATCTCTACATTTTTCGTATGAAAGCAATACTTAAAAAAAAACACGATTTTTTATGTGATTATGGTCTATTCAGCAATCGAGAAGTACTGTCAACAAATACGCGGATTTAAAACACTTTTAACATAAGTAAAACATAAGCTCACTATTATGTTTCGCAGTTTAAGTAGTTAAAAGTGTTTTATTTAAGCTAATGGATAAATTAGAGAAGTTTTCTAAGCGTTCTGTTACTTGATTACTGTCATTCTATTGTTCATTTTCCGGAGCAGGTAATGCTTCTTGTTCAAAACGTTCGTCCGACGTAGGGCTGACAAATATTTAACGGTTTATTTATCTTAAATACAAATCTATTGCTAGAAGTGTCCCTTACCTTCTCAGCGCGCTTAAGTCCCCACTTGCAGCCGAGAACAGCAGATTGACAATGCTCAGTCCAGTTGTTTCGAATTTGTAACGGCGTGGGTCTTTTTTGTGGCTCGCGTAGCGTATGTTATCGTATTTGTGGAAATTGAATCGCTTTATTAGTTCCTGCAAAGTTTAAAACGTATATTGTAGTAAAATGCAAAGTATAGGTATATTATAATATATATTTTTTTATTCCTATATACTATAATATTTATTCCTAGTAAAATATACTTCCCCAAGATTTGAACCTATGATCTATGGCGAATGATTTGATGCTTTTTAATGTTTAAGAGTAGGCAGTGCAGTGCCAGTGGTAATAATATCGATCGAGAAATGTTAGTATATGTATAATTAAATTTATCGTTTGTCTAATGATAGTACTGTAAGGATAATATTCAACAAATCGTGTGGTCAATGCCTTGTCGAACGTGGCTCTAATTAATATATAATTTTCTGAAACATTTAAAGTTCGTTTCGAAATTTGGATATCAAATGGGCGGGATTGTAAAAATTACGCTCGGGTCCACGAACCACCACACGCAAATAAAAAGATCGTCAAATTTATTGGTTAAGTTTAGTTCCAGCTTGTGCATCTTTTTTCTATGTTATATTGCTGGAGTACCTTCTATACTTGTGTGTCCTCCTGTATCATAAAAACAAATATACTAATAATGCTTACCTCGCAAAATTGTAAACCCCTGCAACTGTTGCCCAAAGGATCCAAGGGCGGCGACCAAGTGCATATGCCCATAACATTCGGCACGACTATCAACATAGCACCAGAAACTCCCGACTTCGCCGGCAAACCTACTTTGAAGGCAAATTGGCCTGAGTAGTCGTACATGCCACAGCTATGCATCAAAGATAGTACGTTTCTGACCGAATCGGGTCTTAGCACTTTCTCATCCGTGATAGGACATATCCCGCCATTTGCTAAGGTTGCCGCCATGATGGACATTATGTCGCAATTAGCTTCCATAGAGCAGCACTGTCAATAAAAAATATATACTCAGTACTAGATAATTTCCCCGTTAGTTACGCTGTAAAAAAAAACAAAGCCAAAAATAAACAAGAAAACAAAAACGTATTCCGACGTCTTTCTAATCAACTTATAATTTGTTTGAAACGTATGGACTGGAAATCTGGATATTAGGCATATCGAAATATATCCGTCCGGGTCACAAATCATCGTACACAGATGAGAAAGCCGCGAAGTTTTAATCGTATGTAGATTTCCGAATATCCAAAGCCAAGAATAGCGCATCTTGTTGAGATGTTATTTGGCTAGGTTAATTCACTTTCCATCAAGAGAACCCGATGATTGTCCATTTCCCTTTACTATATAAATATTTTGTGTGTAACTAAGTTTAGAATTTAACACGTTTAAAACACGGAATATACACCTCTCGTGACTGCGGCTCATTATATTTTTCACAGTGCACTGCGGCACTATGTTTTTTTTTTGTAAAATATGACGTCGGTTAATCGGTTAAATAAATCAGCTAATATATTAACTGCTCAAAACCCGTTCAATACTAATTTTGATAAAGGACAGACTAAATGTGTCTATTATAAGAAAGTGTACATGTATTTTGTGATAAGATAACACTGCACCGATATATACACATAGATGAACGTACCTGAAAATAGAAATCCATACATTCCCGAAGGTTGGTTTTCTCCGGGTAGCATTTGTGTTCTCGCATATAGAAGCCCAACGCGTAATTCCTATCCGCCGCCTCGCGTTCGGATAAAAATACAGCATTATTGAAGCCTAGGGCCTCGTGGCCCGCCAGACGGCTGAAGAAGGACATGACGTAGTCGAATTTTTCAGCGAGTGTCATTTCGGGCTTGTCCAACGTTTTTAACAACGAACACACCAATATGGCTCCCGCGTTTATCATTGGATTGTGAGGCTTCACTGGAGGAACAAACGTTAAGAATCTGTTTATATTTATGTCACAAGAATACAGTACAAATCACAAGCTTTCCTTTTATTACAGCCTGTCCAACATGTGAATTGATTAACTAATATCCCCATTTACTAACTTAACTAATACTAGATTAAAGGATAGATGGTCTGACTAATAAATTATAATTATTATTATATATCTCCTTCTCGGGACTCAAACTCAGGATCTCTTATACATGCAAGGCAACATGCTTCAAAACTGAGCTCCTGAAGCAAATATTTATTTTTGTAATAAGGCAAAATTAATTATTGTCAGTAGACTGTAGTTGATGCGAGTAGTATAAGTTGAAATAAAACACATCTAACAGTTTAAATCGCGATATATATTAGTAAAACTTTTAAAAGTTTTTTTATTTATATTAACCATGATCCGATTGATTTCGGGTGCTTTGCAGCAGTTGAGGTCGTAGGTAAAATAAATCAAATGAAAGTTTAAACAATATACTCCGCGTTTTAAACCGTTAAAACTGATTTATAAAGAACAAAATTAAACAAAATGCTTTGTAAATAGCGACCCTTGAACAGGCAATGGCATTTAAAAGAGAGTAATTAATGTTTTGTTTTGATTGGTATTGTTAAATTAGTGACGTCCTACGTATCGATTTATAGTTGCTTCTATTTATAGTTCGATATACTAACTGTTGTGATCCAAGACGAGTTCATTGAAGTTTCTGCCACTGGGCTCCGTGCCAACATACTGGTGAACGACGTCGGGGCCCAGCATTTCAAGGGCCATCGCATACGTTAACGGCTTGCTGCACGATTGTAGAGTGAAGGGGACGTTAACGTCTCCTGAAATAGAAGACATTGTCATTTTTCTCCCTACACTACAATAATTTACACTTTAATATTTTCACTTATTAAATTTGCACACCTTACTAACAAGACTTATATACTAACATTGGTCTTAATTTGGACGGCTTCAGCGGTTACTTAGCAACCCAAAATTTGGGACTACAGTTTCAAAACATAACTCAAAAAAATCATTTCAAAATAAATTCTCAACATACCTATTGAGAACCGTTGCCCATCTATAGTGCATACGCTGACTCCCCAATTATCACAGTTAGCTCTTGCCAACTGAGGTATATAACTGGCTACTTTGCCATCGGTAATGCTCTTAGCCGTCCAATACATTTCTTCAATGTCCTTTATGAAATCTTGAAAGTCAGGGATTACGAATTGACTTCTAAACGCGCGCGTGATCAAAACTATGTTCGGCGCGATCACTTCTTTGAACGTCTTCCTGTCCAGCTTCAGCGTTTCCGGTGATCCGCCTTCGAAATTCGATTCCTTGTGCACTTTGTACAGGTTGTGCATAACTTCCTTTACGCGTGGATCGTTCTTCTTTATCCCTGTGGTTCGTAAAGCCTACGAGCGAAAAGAGATTTTAGAATAGAGATCGAAGAAGAAGATTTTATTATAGAAGAATTTAGCTGATTAAGTTTATCTTTATGTATCTACACAAAATCGAGACATGCATATGTGAGAACTGACAATATAGGAGAAGATAAAATCAAAGAACAAGTTAAAAGATTTTGCAAAAAAAACGAATGTTTGAAAGTTGGATACCCTCCGCGAAGGAGGAATGGGGATATGGAATTGTTAGCAAATAATATGGACTAATAAAGCCATCTTTCAGCGTCCCCAATGGAATATAATAAAAATGACTTACAGCCAAAAACTTTCCCACAGGAAGTAACCCCGTTTCTTCATTTTTGAACATGTCAAACAGCACATCGTCCGCATTCTTGTGCGAACCTTCACGTACCCTGGAAATGATGCCGAAACGTTATTCGAAGGGCTCGTTGATTCAATCATAACAATGCGAATAATTTCTAAGATTCATTCATATTTAATTATTCATGTCAAAACAAATCAAGTGAATCTCTTGTTTGTCTGCCCTTCTTTGTTATATAAAAATACTTATATTAGTTATCTAACTAAAGCTAACACAATAAAACATCAAACTAATACCACATATAAATAACGTGCGTAAATGATTATCTTATCTATGGTAAAAATCCACGATCAGCGTCCTCTTTAGATTCTAATTAGTGACGTAGACGGGTGTGTCTGAAACGTAGTTGCCACAGCAGTCAACATCACCTGACTGAAATTGGCTCGTGATCAAAAAATTATCAACATTCTTCGGAATTTCCAACATTGAAAGTTACATGAGAATAAATCTTTGTGCCTTGAAAATATTAATGAGTCCCTGTTGTTCTATGTTTGCGCGAGTGGTACACATTTTAACAATATATATTAGGCCTCCGTGACTCTAAAAATTTATAACTATATTAATTATATGTGGTTTTAAACCGGTAATGGTTTTTGTTGCTAACGAATTCATATCTTATGCAACATTTTGATCATCATTTGTTTAATCGTTGTATTGAAAACGCAACAGATAGGTACAGATATAAAATACACATAGTTATCTATACTAATATATAAAGCTGAAGAGTTTGTTTGTTTGAACGCGCTAATCTCAGGAACTAAGGGTTTGAATTGAAAAAATCTTATAAACATGACGGGGTTTGCAAAACCTAATTTTGTTGGCCAAAATAACGATTCTCGCGGACGAAGTCGCTGGCGCAGCTAGTATAAAATACTTAGATGCTTATAAAAGAACTTCTGTTCAACAAGTGATATCTATCTACATAACACTCTAAGTAAATTTTTAAACTCAGTTGAAAGTTGAAAAAGCAAACAACATACATACTTATATACAACTTATTTATTCCTATTCTTTGACATCGGCATTATAACCTCGATACGTTATTCAAGTAACTAATTTGTAAATATGTTTAGGTAATATTTACAAATAAATTACTGAAGTAGGTTTACAAAAGTAAATTGACAAATCACAACTCTATTTATAGGCTACACCGTATGTAATAATAAAACTGGTATAATGGACCGCGGTCTCTGCTGTCTATGACAGATTTTTTTTGTCTTTTTCATGTATACATAGCTGTATTTCTTTATAAAATGCTTTTAAGTAAATTAACAGGCAAAAATGCTCATGCCGGATACGTTTTTAAAAATTACCATAAGTTTTTTAAGAATTAAAATAAATAGTTGTACAGTAAAAGTAAACTAAGTAGCAACGCATGTGCAGATAGCAAAAAAAGCATTCGAAAAACAGTCAAAATTCTAAGTCATGCATTAGTCATACTCACGCCGGGTCTAAGTTGTGCACGAAAGAGTAGAATCTGCACCATGAAATCGTAAAAAGACATCTTAGTTTTCAATACATTATAACATTCTAAGCTTTAATTGAAGCTGAACCAAAACAGATAGATTCCATCACGATATTCCAAATAAATTGAATATGTAATACATAGATAGGTTCTTTAAAATTTTATACTAAAATTTAATTTAAAACAAGCCAAGCTATACCTTCCCAGTGAGCTGCCTAGAATCTTCGTGATAAAGCTCTGAATTTGTCTGTAAGAAATTTACATTGCCAATATTCAATCTTGAATTATTTAATTTTAAATAGAGTCTAATTAAAATAGCTTTATATATTAATAATTATACCTAAATATCGTTAAAATGGTGAATAACCATTTCAGGCCACAGCGAACAGACTAGATTTTTGCCTTAAGAATTATTAAGAATTTGTTGAAGTTTTTTTTTTTCTATTTGTGAAGCGTTGTCGACGAAATACAGTTTTTACAAATTATTCATGAGTTTTATTTTATATTATATACACACTTTTTTTTACATTTTTACATTACAATCAAGTAAATATTAAGTTTTTTGTCCCGGTTCTACAGTAGTGGTGGGTGTACTAAAAACCATCTAGTTTACGAGAGGACATTTATAGTTAAAACAAAATCACACATTTATATAAAACACTTAGTCAAGAGATGAGACGGTGTTTACGAAATTAAAGAGTCATTACTGATTAGAAAACTTCGTAAATAATAATTCTAGACGATATCTACTTATCGCCCATGTCTACGTTGAATGATAATTGTATGACTTTAGACAATTTTTATACTCATATCTTCTGTTTTGACTGGAATATTATTAAAACAGTTATCCTACTGATTATTAAAGGTGATTTTTTTATAGTGAAATACTGAAGCAACGGGAAAAAAATAATGAGATGCCTAGTTGTAGCTAAGGCGTGTATAATAATTTTCTCAAAAAAATAATACTAATTGGTTTTAAAGTTCTGAAATGTACTACACATTTCAGAACTTTAAAACCAATGACGAGTTAACGAACAACTATTAATAGTTTTTGGTCCTTGAAAGTACTTTTTTTCGTTATACAGCTTTCTATGTAAATACTGTCTATAGTTTACGCGAGTAGTACACATTTATATAAAACACTTTAACGGTTTAAAACGCGATATATTAGTTAAACTTTTATTTGGAAATGATTTTTAACTTCGGCCCCGACGTTGTCTCCCCCGTGACCACGGCTGCTGCAAAGCATCCCGAAACGCTCGGACCGAAGTTAAAAATCATTTCCCAAATACGTTTAACTAATATATCGCGTTTTAAACCGTTAAGGCTTCTGTGTGCAAGCCAGTTTGAAATTTGAATTAAACCATTCATAAGTTACCTTTTTTTGGTCGCCACGTTGCGGAGCTGGAGATTGTTCCATTTTTAAATTACGCGATTAATAAGATTTTAAAATAAATTTATTTGGCCGCTAAGCAAGGAAGTTGTCAAAATAATGCTCAAATTAAATAAAAAGGAATTATTACCATACCATAACTTCACATACAACAAAACATACCAAGTGTATTTAATCGTCAAACCTCAACATTACCTAATAACTAGTTAACTACTTGCATTATTTCGTTGTGCTTAAATAAATTACTTAATTTTAAAAATAAAACAAGACGAAAATCTGCAAATGTCGCTCGGTTCTATAAATGTATAATAGAAGTCTAGAACTTTATCTATATATCGCGTTTTTAAACCTTTAAGGGGTTTTTTTTTTTTTGTTTTTTTTGGGGGAAAAAAAAAATTACATTATCTACTAATACTATTCGTTATTTTACATCATGCTATTTTCGTAAGATTCTCTTGCAGAGTTATTAAAAAAATTCTTATCTTATCTGTAGCATGTTAAGATGAATTATTTTCTGAATTAACACCAAGTTTTGAACAGACAAGATTCCATATTATTATTGTATTTCAATAGTTGGCATTGTATTATGCAACCTTTTTAGACAGACTTTTCCCCTATAACAGGCAGAAAAACAGATCTGAATGTTTGAATTAAACTTGTGCAGTATTTGGCTCACTAACATTAATTTCATATGTATAAGTCACTTTAACAGGCAAGTATTAGGAAGTAAATGTCTGACTAGATCTACAACACAGGAGTACGATTATATTATTGTTTTATTATCATTACAATTTTATCATAAACTTTACTCTTCTTTTAATACCGCGGCAGTCTGCAGCTTTGTTTAGTGTACCAAGCACTTACCATTACATTTGAGATTGGTATTGATTGTCATTTATTATCTATCTATTATTTTCAGATTTATAATTTACTAGCGCCCACCCTGGCTTCGCTCGAGTGCAATGCAGATAGTAAATACAATACAGAAAAACTGTGAAAGTTGTACATAAACCTTCCTCTTGAATCATTCTATCTATTAAAAAACCCGCATTAAAATCCGTTTAAAGATTTAAGCGAAGATGGGGACAGAGAAGGAATTTATTTTATACTATGTAGTATAAGATAGTGAGAATAAATATTGGAATTTAAATTTGTCGATTTGTGAAGAAAATACAAGTATTAATATAAAAATATTTAAAATTCAGTGACTGAAAATATCAGTCAGTATTTAGACCTAGTATTATATGAATAGTCATTTAAAACGTGCATTAGTTTACTACCCTTCTTCGTACCCTACAACTACACATGTAGCTGTGTAGGTTTAAATGTCAGGGGTGGAATGTCTAGACACGGCGCCTGTTACATCAATACTTCAATAAGAATTGATACAGGTCATTAAAACTAATTTATTTTCAATAGAATATTCCGGCTGCGCGATTGTTCTATTATATTTCAATCATGAAGTAACGAATGATCAACTAACCTTGTGTCGATGGACTGAGCGGCGTAGAAGCTTTGCGCTGAATTCCTCCATTTCTGAAAGAAGAACACTAGTTTTAGACACTCGGTCAGGGTCTGGTGTTGCGTATCCTAGATGGAGCACTTACGGGTCTTTCAATGACATAAACGGGCCGCACTTGGCTGTAGCTACGGCAAGTGCATGGTGTTTTCTGTGTCTGTAATGATTTTACGGCCGCGGCGATTCTACGCAACTGACGCGTATTCATCGCGGAAGGTGGGACCGAAAATGAGGACGCTACGCAGCTGTGAGCCTCTACTGAACGCGCAGGCGCAAACTGATGTAACTAGCCTACTATAATCGTTTATCTAATAAGACTTATTTACTCAAATGACGCGGTTTTACGCGGAGAGCAAATGTTTTATTAACTAATTTAGATTGTGGAGGTGTGTATTTTACGTTACGCTTTCATTACTTCCTAGAATTTTCATATCTAGATATAATTTCGTTACGTTTTTACTGGGTATTACCGTTAGACTGTGCATGGTCATTGCATGTGCAATAAATAAAAATGTAATACTTGACGCTTTAAAATGCAATGTTAACTTATTTTAATTTTATTTTAATTACGGCCCGACGTTTCGGATGATTTGCAGCAACCGTGATTCCCCCGTGACCACGGGTGTAGTTAAAATAAATTAAAAATAAGTTAACTTAAATATATTTTACATTTTAAAGCGTTAAAAATGTTTCATTGATTCAAACATGAATTATGAACTGATCGCTTAAACTGTAGACAATAGTCTTATAAATATATATTAAGGCAATATAAAGTAATATGAAATTATTAACTTTTATCATTGTAATATTACGCCTAGTGAACATGACATGATGTTTAAATAAAAATATTATTATTAATATCTGTGGGTTATCTTTCATTTATTGATGAATGACTTTTGGCAATATCTATTGTTCACATTAGACGTTGTAATTATTACTTATAACAGAATTATATTTGTCCCTAGTATTTAACTAGCGACCCACCCGGCTTCACTTGGCTGAAATACTGATACTAAATACACTACAAAAAAACTGTGAACGTTTTTTATAAATACCTTTCTATTGAATTGCTCTCTCTATTAAAAAAAAACGTATTATAATCCGTTGCGTAGTTTTAAAGATTAAAGCGCACATAGGGACAGAAAAAGCGACTGTTTTATGCTATAATATGTACAGTAGTGATAATACTTTGCAAAATTTTCTTGAAAGCCAAAAACATTTTACAAACTGAAAAAGATGACAGAGAACAAATAAAAATAAAACATGTATTTTACTTGATGCAAATTGAAATATTCTAGCCATATAACTAACATGCGCTATCGACCTATTTGGGCTTCTAAATCTGGCATTCGAATATTCCACAGACTGTAGAAATGTATTATTACTATTCAAAGCTTTTCCATCGATTCAGAATCCAAATAGAGTCTAGCATGATATTTCAGATAAGTTTACGAGTAAATTGATTTCGAGAAATTTGTTAGACCCGGTGAGAATCGAACCCACGAATCGTCCGATGCTCCAAATCCACCAACGCGTCCTTATGCACAATCAAAAATATAAATACCTACCAATACTTTTTAAATTACATATTTTAGGAATATATGTATTATATTCCTAAAAATGATGTCCTTCAAAATAAAAGTAACGTTGATATATTACTGATTGAAATGAAACACTTAAACGGTTTAAAACGCGATATATATTAGTTAAACTTATATGAAAATTATTTTAACTACGGCCCGACGTTTCGGTCTGACGGGCTGCAAAGCATTCGAAACCCCGCCTCGTAGTTTAAATAATTTTCAAATAAAATTAAGTAATATATATCGTGTTTTAAACCGTTGAAGTGTTTTATTTAAATGTGTACTACTCGCATAAACTACAAACAGTATTTAATATTAAAAAAAGTTAGCATTTACCTCAAAATCCGTGTCCGATGCCATTACGAACTCTTCAAAACTGCACTTTGGAACGTACCGCATACGTGAAAAAAGCACGTGTTCGAATACGCTGAAAACGCAATGCTCCACTTACAATATCACGATGTACTGAAGCTTTCAGCCAGTCGCCAACAAATATAGTTCCAAGGAGCCGCCAAGAAGTGTTTGCGAATCTAAAAATAGCTCCAATATAACTATGGAGCTATGGAACTACCTTGTTTATGTCATATAATACAGTTACGCGCGCACATTGTTTTGATGTAGATTGTATGTACAGGAAAAACTTAAATTAAAATCTATTTAGGTCACCAACGTTACGTACAAGTATATACATGTATATTATCATAATTTAATTTTGTAACATTTTATGAGTTTTTTTTAATAATAGAAAAGAACAGACAATCCCAAGGTTCACTTGATGGTAAGTGAAATGCCTCAGCATGTAGCCTAAACAAGATGCGCTGTCGGCCTATTTTCGCTTTGTATATGCGGAAATCCACAGACTGAAACCGAAGCACATGATGGAACTTCACGGCGTTTTTCATCTGTGGAACATCAATATGTTTCAATTCCTTCCACCCATTTAATATTTTCAGATTTCCAGCCAAAGTCCAACATTTTTCAGAAAAAACATATAAATTGATTAGGAAAATTTAGGACCTGGTGGGGATGGCACCTACGACCCGTTGATTATTGCTAGCATTACATCAACTAGACCGTAAAAGAAGCTAAAAGAGACTTTTGTATTTGTTTATTATAAAGCTGGGTAGTTTGTTTCTTAAACGCGCTTATTTAATCGTAGGATACATATCTATCTATATAAACAATGAAAAAGGTAGAAAACGCCTGGAAATTTATCTTTGAGTATTTCTGTTGGGTGCGCTACGAAAACGGTACAAGATACCCAAAAACATGTATGGAAGAAGGATTCCTTTTTAAATAAACGAGAAAAATGTCCCCAGTACATGTCGGAGAATCATTACTTTAGTATTATGTGAATGCCGCCATACTGAAGTTCGGTATAGTTTACTCTGTGGTATGTTACGGTCAACTGGCGAAATTGACAATCTGTCAAGTCAAGTCACTGTGATCTGTAAGTCAGTAGTGCGACTATAAAGATTCATGCTCGTGAACTCTCGGAACACCCCCCTCGGGGCACCCTTGGTCTAGCCGCAAACACGGCGAGCGCTAGCGCTCGCCCAAACGCCCGGTTAGTATTCGAGGCCCCGTCAGGGCACAATACGTAAGATCCAAATACTGTCTATAGTTTACGCGAGTAGTACACGTTTAAAAAAAACACTTTAACGGTTTAAAACGCGATATATTAGTTAAACTTATTTAAAATATGCTCGACTCGACGTTTCGGATGCCTTGCAAGTGTTTTATTTAAACGTAAGATCCAATCAAAAATAAAACTCTCGGAACACTTGCGTGGAAACATTGCCTTCGCCGCGCACTGATAGGATAAACTTCCGAAAAGCGCATACCGCCGATCGATCTGCAATTTGGTATGCTTATGTATTTTTACCTCCTAATCACGAATATCATAACGAAAATTGGCGCAAACGTCATTTTGAATATGAAAATCGAAAGAAACCTCTTTTCGTTCATTGTGCCCAATCACGCATTTCTAACCAATGTAGACTATTTGAGCTTTTCCCAACGTCTGCCAGGTCAGCTCGTAAATAATAAATATTATTTTATTAAGATTGTGATTGATAACCAAACAATAAAACGCATTATAATATAATCACATGCATTTATTACTATAAAAATAGAAGGATAAACAAATAAAAATATATTAATGCAAATAATAAAAAATAGTAGGCAAGAATATCACAATTATGTATTGCGAGGCTTACGCGAGTAGTAAATATTTAAATATAACACTTTAAAATATTTAAAATGATATTTCTCATTAGTTAACTTATTTACAATTTAAAAATATTTGGTGAGATACTTACTACGACGAAGCAGAGGGCGCTAGCGTAGCAAATTTGACTTTAGGGACACCCTTCATGTTCACCCCGCGACAATGACAAGCAAAGCTTCAGAATCGTCAGGCTGTAGTAAAAATTAATTGTAAGTAAGTTAACTAATTTATTTCGTGTTTTAAATCGTTAAATGTTTGTAATATCAAAATTACTTTTATACAAATATCTCATTTTAATCAGCCTTCAAGCAGTTCCCACCGCTGGGACTAGTGTTTTATCAAATAATATGCAAGCATTGATCTACCACCCTTGACAACGTGTAGGTGAAGGACATCTTACTTATCGTACTTACAGCGTTAAATTTTTGGCTTTAAAACAAATATCGATTTGCTTTCTTTACTTTACCACTAAAAATGTAAGCAAAACAAATATTTTAGTGTGTGACCGGGAATCGAACTCCTATCGATGTGAACATATTTACAGCCGTTACATTATATCCTTCTGCCTCGTGCATGTGTTTAGCACGAGAGGCCCTGGTTTCGAATCCCTGAATTGTCGATCAGGTAGGCACAGTAATCTGAAACGACATTATCTGTTAATGTTCTTCTAACGTTTAATGAATTTAAGATAAACAGGCTTCGAATTTTTCAGCACTACATCAGCGGTGAAGTCCAGGTCTGCGGACGTAACTGGTAGAACCCTGAAGCTTTTAAGAATTACTGATACCGCCGACTTCATTTCCATCATAGCGAACTTTTGACCTGCAAAACAAAGAAAGGATGATAATTCGGAATTTTTGCTCATTATGTTGTTTATTATTGTTAACACAAATATTAGACACTTTCGGTTAGGTTGCAGTGGAACTAAGTGAAGCGTTCCTTCAACTACAGTATGTGCCCGACAACTATCTTTATGCCCGAAAGCATAAGCCTCGATCTGTCTCGCCTGTCCCTCGAATGCATACCGCTCTGTGCCATGTGCCGCTATGTGCCCCTGGACAGCAACCCTGATGTCGATTTATTTTTTGAAAATGGTAGGATTCTTTTTTGAACTGTTAGTGATTTTAAACTGTTTTATTTAGCTCACCCCGTTTGTTTTTTTATTAAACTGTTTTATTTAGCTCACCCCTTTTGTTTTATTATTTATTCTTGGGTCAAATTTAGTAATTCAAATTTCACCCTCTTCCTGTCAACCGATTAATCTGAAATTTTGTATACACTTTGGATTTTGGTGACAATACAATTATCTTTATTCATTATCATTATAAATCCAAGATGGCGGCCGCTACAAAATGACGGATAACGTAGGTTTTATCAATCCCATCAACATGGGTATCAAATGAAAGGTCTCAACAAGTACCATCAAACACTAAAAGAATGCGAAATAAAAACTAAAAACTAGAAAATAAAAATAGGTTTACGCGAGTAGCGCGATATATTAGTTAAACTTATTTGAAAATGATTTTTAACTTCGGCCCGACGTTTCGGATGCTTTGCAGCAGCCGTGGTCACGGGGAGACACGAAGTTAAAAATCATTTTCAAATAAGTTGAACTAATATATCGCATTTTAAACCGTTAAAGTGTTTTATTTAAAAGGTAAAAAAACTTTTTAAGTTAAACGGTTTTATGTTAAACATACATTGTAATGTTTAAGATAAATGTACTAAAAACCAAAAAATAATAAAATAGACACAGTCGTAGGAATTATAAACATAATATGCATAGACTAGACTAAAATAAAACTGTGGGGCACGTCAATTGTCTGCCTAACGACGAATTAAACGATTCTTCTATCGCACATTAATTCGATAACTTGTTCGTCAACTTCGTCATTGGTTTTGATAGAATTACGTAGTAGTAGAAAAATTAAAAGAAGCTCCAATAGCTAAATTGCTAAAAAAACTAGTTTACTACCTAAATTGTTCCTAGGACCGGCACTAAACGGAATATATGCGTAGGGGTGTCGACCGACAGAGTTTTCCGGCAAGAATCGGTCTGGATCAAACTTTAAGGCATCTTTGAATAGGCTCTCCTGGCGATGCATGTTGTAAATGTGTATGTGGCACATTGTGCCTTTTGGCACTATGCAATTACCTGAAATGATATGGGATAATGTTAATAGTTGTAATGTAAATAAAACTGTTCAGCTTTGAACGAAAAAAATATATCTTAGTCATAACTCATACTGGCCCAATAAGCCAGTCCTAATCATATTCGTCTTAGGACCCAAACTGTTAGCATAACTAAGTCAACACATCTATACTAATATTATAAAACTAAAGAGTTTTTTTTTTGTTTGAACGCGCTAATCTCAGGAAATACTTGTTTGAACTGAAAAATTAGATATTAGATAGCACATTAATCGAGTAAGGCGTTCGAGTTTAGACTATAGAACATCACGCTGTGAGCAGTAGAAGCGAAAAAATGGTAGAAAATGTGGAAGAAAATGGGACAAATTATTGATTTTTAAGGGCAAAAACGGTTCTAAAAACCAAAAAAGTATGTACGAAATAGTAATTCATCTTTATATGATCCATAAAAAGTATAGTGTAAGTTTAAAGATTACCTCGCCAGAACCGTTTAAATGGTGATCAAATTATATCGAAATTAATGCGTCATTATTTATTATTAATAATTTTATAAGAGTTGTATCAACATAATAATATAAATCTCGCAAACAAATCACAGATCAGCTAGAGCTATACCAATATGGCGGCAAGTTGACAAGCAACCATGAACACATGAGCAATAAAAACTAGTAATACACTCGCAAGTGTTTTATTTAACAAAAAATATTTTAGTTACTTACTTAATACCACTCCTTCAGTTAATTGACCACTAATAATGGGCACCGGTGGATATAATCTCAAAGTCTCCTTTATACATCTCTCCAGATAGTTCATCCTGGACAAGTCTTCTAGAGATGCACATCGACTATTTCCGGGAAAAATACTTTTGAGCTCATGGTATACTTTGTCCTTGAAAAAACGAAATAGGCCTTAGCTAAAGGATATCATTTTTACGACGTCATTGGTCCAACGTCAGCAATGTAATCCTGTGATTAATGGATATTGATTCTCATCGTCTCCAATAAAACCAGGACATACAATGCGTAGTAGGAATATCATAGGGCAGTGAAGTGTATATCTGAGTTTCGATTCCAGCGGCTGGACTTCCGAATGCCGACAGACAAAGTCAGTCGACTGAGCATCTTATGATGTTGGATGGGGAATCAAGTGAACGCCCGACGCCTTGTGTATTTTATGCATTATTACTTCTCTTACGGACAACAAATTAATCATGCAATAACACAATCTCTATTTTATTAAATATTCGTAGGAATGTTTTAATATGTTTTGGTCCAGTGCTGATTACAATAATTACCTGAATGTCTTGATTTTCAGCAAGCGTTAACAGACAATGTGTGAGACCGGCTGCCGTCGTGTCATGACCCTAAAATGACATTTTATTCATGGTTAAACTTAAAATAATTATTATTATTGTTTATTAACTATCAGACGTTTTTATATTATTATTTTATAACGTTGTAGGGTATTTTCCTAAATTTTAATTCCAAGATATACTTACCTAAACCATAGGTGCCCGATCACCTTTTTGTAACTTATGAAAATAATACTGATATTTTTTATTCTCTTTTCTTTTACTCATGCAATAGGTTATTGCCACTTGCGCCGCCACTAAAATATATAATAACCGTTAAAGTTTCAATTTCGCAGTGCTACTAGTACTAAGACTAAACTAAGACCAGTGGTCTAGCATTAAGACTTCACTCCTGTCTGTTCATGTCTTATCAGGCCGAAATTCGAGATCAGTATTTGATAGATAGTTCAAGTTTAACTACAATTTAGGAAACCCTTCCCCTTTCCCCTTTTATTTAGAATTTGTTTCGCTCAACTAAGAACTAATATATGCCCAAGGATGTTCAACGTGCATTCTAATTTGAACCATCTATTACCTCAATAATAAAAGTATTCACTCGTGCCTCAACTCTGTTGTTCAATAAACCATTTTTCTGTTCTGTTTCCCTCCACTCACACAAAGAGTCATCGTATTCTTCAGCAGACTCATACTCCTCTTCAGAATCGTTACTGTTGATATTCTCTTGTCCTGTCTTTTCCTCAAGCAACTCTTGAGCAAATGTAGGGCATCTATTTACTGACAAGGATGGGCACTGCTTGATTTCTTTATGGAACCAGTCAAAAATGAAATCGGGACAAAGGTAAAGTTCACTGACACGACGGAACAGCGTCTTTACAGCTTTGTGAACTGTGTCTTTGTAAGTCACTCTAAAAGCGGGCAAAACTTTGTTGGGTACAGGAAAGTATTTGCGCAATATATTAAAATAGAATGCTGAAGTGAGAAATTTTCGTCCTCTTGGCCATCTGGAACCTTAAAACAAAAAATATATTCTTATACATGATTTATAATTTTATTTGTAAATAAATCCGTCGTCCTATAGGTTTGGGGAAGATACATTTTTTTGTCCATTTCCCATTTTTTTCAATCCAGTTAGCGTTTACGCCAAACTAACGCAGATGATCATGTTCAGGTTACATTTTGTATTATCTGTGTTTTATCAAACGTTTTTTTGCCATTGAAGTATTTCGGCTAAAGATTGATTACCATAAAAATAATACATATTTTTTTGTATCTTAAACAGTTTTCGCAGCTTTCTTCTCTGGAAACTTTACACTGCTACCTAAGTAAGCAGCGTGATGTTTTATGGCCTAAAGCCTTTCTCGATAAGCAACTCTAAGCAACATAAAAATCAAAAATTGTTCAATTTGAAACAGTAGTAGTGAGATTAGCAAACAAACTCTTCAGCTATATATTAGTATAGAATTGTTAGATGGCGCTGCGCTAAACGTTCACATCCGGGGAACATGATAAAGAAAAAGATTGTTGGGCAGGCCCTGAAGACTAATTGACTAAAAGTAATATTGTCTGCCAATGTTGAGAAGCGAGATTGTAATATGTTATTTTGTGTTATTAGTGCTTACCATTGCTCACTGTTATGCCGCCTTTTAGTGAAGGACCGAAGAATTTAAATATTTTACTCTTTTCGTAATATTTCATGTATGCTGTGACGATCTGAAACATAAATTTTAAAATGCAACCACAAATTGCAATCGATAGGTATTTAAAAAGGACTGCCATAAACTTATTTACCGGATTCTGTTAGAAAATAAAAGCGCACAAATATATATATTACTATACTAATCTATACCAAAAGCAATCTATACTAATATATAAAGCTGAAGAGTATGTTTGTACGCACTTATTTCACTAATATAGAACTACTGGTGGGAATTAAAAAATATTTTTGTGTTGGTTAGATCATTTGTCGAGAAAGGCGAAGGAACGGAGGGAACGAAGATACAGGAAATGTGGAGAAAACGGGGAAACTTATTCATCTTTGTGGGATTCCGTTGCATATCTACATTGCGAAAACGGCTCAAGATACCCATAAACGTCGGGAAGCGACCGACGTCATGGGCAACAGCTTAGATCTATAGAGATGAAGAGGTTTGCAAAAACTAATTTTTATGCCAAAAAATAAACTATCCTACGCGAACTAAGTCGCTGACACAGCCAGTAAGATATAATACTTGCGTCATAGAGATTGATAAGTAATGCTGAAACACAAGCGCGATATAAAACTAATTCAAACACAACACGGAAGTATGCATTAGTAATAAGTAAGGTAGAATAGGATTATAATATTAAGTGAAGATCGGATGGCCTGCTGACCGAGGAAAGATAAATCCAGGAATAAAATAATTTAAAAAAGAAGAAGGCAACGAAGAAAAGAGTTTTACAAGAAACTATATGTGGGTAATTTAAAAATCGAAAATAAATTGAAAAAATTTTCGACTCGGGCAGGACTTGAACCGGCATCTCAGCTTTCCTGCTGTTGCTCTACCAATTGAGCTACCGAGTCCTACACCTCATCTCGAATTTTTTCAACTTATTGATACATGCACCTCTCCGCAATGTAATTTCTACCTTAACACTTGCGTATTAAGGCTCAATGTCTTATGCTTTGCAGCTTAAGAAATCATTGAAGATGAAATTACAAAGTTATAACGTTTGAAAACATTAATATTTTTCACATGTTATTGCACATGAAGGCACTATATATGTGGGTAGTTCGTAAATTAGTTTCGATGTTAGTTACTAGACTGCCACTGCGAACATGTGGTTCAAACCAACAAACGCAATTATAACGCATTGTGTTAAGTGAGAAAGGTTTTAGGTTCGAACCCAAGGTAACGTACTAAATAGTCCGGTATAATACCTCGGATATACGTATAATATAAACAGACACGTTCGTCCAGCGGTAGCACCGTTTTTCATATAATCAATGGATTGTGCGTACGATTCCACCAGTAATTCATCGGATTTAGTCTGTGGATCCTTTGTTGTCCTCTGTGATGGAAGAAAGTGATTTTTTTTTGTTACATTTTAAAAAAAGCTAACCTCGACATCTTCTGGGTTATAAAGAATTATAGCTTGTACAGGAGACGTATTGCAGCGGCAAATTCTATTGAATCTTCTACCAAATTCTCTGGCTGGTTTGTTCGACACTGTAAAAGGAGTAGAAAGTTGCGTATACATTTTCTCGACCACCTACATATAATAATACGAAGTAAATAATTGCAAAAGTGGGCACTCGACTTACTTAAAAGTTTTAACCGACTGAAAAAGTAGGTGTTTTGCAGTTGGTTTAATATAATATTTCATAATATCGTGTGGTAAGTAAGTTAATTTAATGTCGGGTTGCTACAATATTTAGTTGACAACGATTTTAAACTTGTATTACAAAAACTTTTTAAATCATTAATATTTAACTAAAACTATATATTTATTAAAATCTTTATATATTTAATAAAGATGTCGTGATTTATTTCATTCGTTTTCACTTTCTAAGTTCTTCAGTAATGTTGAGATGTTACCTTAACCCTGCAAGGACATTAGTAAGTTTGACTTGATAGTATAACATTGAAATAAAAACAGTAAACAGCGATTAAACATTAAATGTATGCAATGCTACCTAATTGTAGTTAAAAATTAATTTTCTTATAGTTACATATCTCAAGATAACAAGAGAAGAATGGTAAAATAAAATAACAAATAAACACCTGAATTCGAGCCGAAAATGTTACATTTCTTTCTACACAATAATATATCTTTTGAAACCGTAACTTTATTCACTGTCTCATTTCTTTTAACAAAGTAATTCACTGAGAATAGAAAAGAAACGAACACCAAGAGTGTAAGTGACAACATCTTGATGGTATTTGGTGAGCAAAACACATCTACATGAACGTACTAGCGCTTGTACTAAAACGCAAACATACTCGTTTCTATAACATACATAACATGAGAACTAAGTTTGTACAAGTAATAATTAAATTGAACCTTATCATCGTAAACATAAAGTTATAAACCGAGTAAAGGTCTGACAGAACAAGTCATATCGTTATATCTTACTCGCACAAGTATGCGTCACATTGGTATCAGCGTGAAACATATAACAAATTCGTTTCAACCTGTTAATGATAATGTCCCACAGTTGGGACGTCTCATCCAGACTAGGAGCAGAGTCAACATCCAATGTCAGGTCGTGAATTGTCATAATTATATACCGTAAAATAGAAAAAAAATCATATATGTACAATGTTTGAAAGACGAAAACACTTAATAAGAATATTAATTTCTTTTATCATAAATAACTAGCTGATCCGGCAAATGTTTTTTTGTTGTTTGGAAAAATTCGATTATCGAGCTTATCTTATATGAAAGACATACACTGTCACATAGTTTTAGATCATTTGAAGAGGAATCATTCTTTCATACATATATTTTGGCTTCTTGAAATGTTTCTGCGGCGCACGCAACGGAAGCCCCAAAGTTGTATAAATTTCCCCGGTTTTTTTTCAAACCTTCCTGGAGAAATGGTCCATACAGCACATTTATTTTTATTACTATCAGTAGTTGACATTATCACGGTTAAAAAAGGGAACAAACTCTTCGCCTTTATAATATTAGTATATAAGGACTTGGGATAGAATTTTTAATTATTTAGGCTGTTAATTAATTTATGTAAGGGCTACTTTGGCGCAATACTCTCACCTCACATCACTCCTACTCTCACTCTCACTCCCACTCCCTCTCCTATTCCCAAAAAGCCAAAGAAGAAAGTTTCATTGTTCTAGCTTCAAAAACTACGAATTTCCATACAAACTTTTACCCCCCCCCCTTTAACCCTTTAAAACCCCCTTTTAGCAATAATCCTATGTCTTGTCTCAGGGTCTAGACCATCTGTGTACCAAATTTCATTTAAATCCGTTCAGTAGTTTTGGCGCGAAAGAGTAACAGACAGACAGACAGAGTTACTTTCGCATTTATAACATTAGTAAGGATAAAAGATGCAGTAGTGAAAAAATTAAATTGAGTCAAAACTGGATTTATTTATTTCACGACCCCTATGTTGAACGATGACACCACAGCATAATCAATTAACGACCGTCTTATCAGCATCATACAGACAAATACACATAGATACAATTTCTAGGAAAACCAATGTCGTAAAGTTTATCTTACATTAGTCATTGTGATTACATAATATGGTCTTAATCTTTTATAATTATTATGGAGTTAAAAGAACTACCGGCGCTGGCGCCGATCGGCCCTTGATCCCGTACTTCTTACTTGGATGAACATCCGTCCAGCTCTCAAAACTTCTGAAACATCAATCAAACGCGGAATCCAAAGAACGATTATTTTTTATAATTTTGACCTTCAAACTACAAATTTACACCAAATATGAAATAACTAAACCACAGACAGAGGCCCGCGGTGCACCCTTGGTCACGATTAGTTTTAGAAGCCGTGGCCAACATACAATATAATCAATTAAATAAATAAAAAACATTTATATATTATTATACTCTCTGTGCCTGCAACTTCGCCCGCGTGGAATAGTCATTCTCCGTGTGAAAATTTGTGTTTTCGAACGTTCTCCTTATTTTTATACATTATATCTTTTGAAAACTTTATTATTTTTTGCATGTTATTGCACTTGAATGCACTTTAATTTAAATATAATTTAAAAAATTTTCAACCGGGCCGGGCCTGGAACCGGCGTCGTCGGGTTTCCTACTCGATAGCTCAATTGGTAGAGCAACAGCACGGAACGCTGACGCTGCTGGTTCAAGTCCTGCCCGAGGCGAAATTTTTTTCAATTTATTTTTGATTTTTAAATTACATTATATCTGTTACTGGCGACGTCGTCCGTGTCCCGTACTTTTTGCAAGTTAATCTTAAAAGATTATAGATGTATACTGTCGGACATTTTTTTCAGATCATTCAAATGGAAATCGGTTGCACTAGACTTAGCATTGCATTAGATTACTTCTTACTTTATCAATCAGTGTTTCTCTAAAATAATATGAAAATAGTAGTATTCTATGAATAATAAAAAAACCGCCACCGTTGTCTTTTGTTTTTTTTTAAGTTGAAATACAATTAAAAAAGACAGATACATATATAAATAATAGTAGAAAATATGTAAAGGTTACAATTAGAATTTCCTTCCATAATATAATGGGCCCAATAAAAATTTCCCATTTAAATAAAACCCTTTAACGTTTTAAAACGCCTTGCCTATGCTTTGCAGCAGCCGTGGTCACGGGCATCCGAAACGTCGGGCCGAAAATAAAAAACCTCCTCCAAAAAATTTATAATATAATGGGACCGAATGTTAAATTCCCCCAAAAAAAAAAAAAAAAAAAAAATGTCCCAATAAATAGTTAAATAAAATAGTACAAAGAACGCCTTACCTTTTTTTGTGGCAATAATATTCTTGTAAACATTGCTTTCGCGTTTGCTGTATTATTATTTTTGTTGTTAGCAAAGTAGTGGAACTATTAATAAGACTTGATGGGAGGTGAAAATACCCAAGATATATAACATCTAGACAGCATGCGTTGTCAACTAATTTGTCTTAGGATATTTGGACATCCAGACTGACACATTCAGTCAGACTGAAGACGAAACGCGAATAAACTTGACTGCTTTTTCGTCTGTGGACAGTGGTACGTGACGAGGCGAAGTTTCGATATTCCTACCACCCACTTAATATCCAGATTGCTAGACGTTTTTTTAAACATTTTTTGCACGTTTTTAAACATTCAAAAAGTATCAATTATTTACGAACATGTCGGAATATATGGTGGGCATCGAATCCACGACTCATTGATTATAAGCCATACATTGCTACTAATACACCAACGTCATAAAAGTAAATAGTTTTTTAAGTATATTATATTATATTGGAGTTTGCTTTCAGTTAACATATGTGTTTGTTTGAATATTATTAGACCGATTATATTTTCAAATAGTCTTTTAAGATATCTTTATAGTGAGCGTGCGTCGAAGTGGGCTATCACAGGTTATCTACGACAAATTAAATCTATTAATAACACAAGGTTCTCGCAATTGTTTGTAAATGTTTTGTTGTTACTTTTGCGTTTACAAAAGCTTTAAGCTTGCCATTATCTTGTATAGTAAAACCATTTCTTAACAGTTTTATCTATACTCATATTATAAAGATGAAAAGTTTGTTTAAAACATTATTTTTGATTGTTCGTTAGAGTAGTAAACTTCACGTGTTGGTTAGAACATTTATCGAGGAAGGCTTTAGGCTATAAAACACCACGCTGGCACCACGAATTTGGATGCCCAAAATTACATGTCTAAAGAGACGAAGGCGCCCAGCTGTTATGCATATTATAGTGGGCTTGTTAACTATATAGCTTAATGATAGACTATGTTATCGTTTAATAAATTTTAGATATACAGGCTTTGAATTTCTAAGCACTAAATCAGCGGTGAACTCGAGGTCTGCGGACGTCGTAACTGGTAGCACCTTGAATCTCATCAGAATAGCAGAAAGCGCCGATTTCATCTCCATCATAGCGAATTTTTGGCCTGGTAACAAATAAGTTGCAGATTTAATTAGATTGCATTTTTCAATTCGAGCTAGTAGTTCCTGAGATTAGCGAGATCAAACAAATTCTTTAGCTTTATATAGATGAAACATAACTTTTTCTGTTTTGAAAATACAAGACTTTGAATCCCAGGGAAAACGGAATTGTTTTGGACAGGTCATGAACCGGCATCCACAGCGTTTCGTGCAACGTTAAACTATTTTAATTTCATCTCTTATTATTGCTGCAAAGCTTAAGACATTAAATATCCACACGTAAGTGATAAGGTTGAAATCGCATTGCGCGAGAGGTGCATGTGTTAATGGGTTGAAGAAATTGGACGATAATGAGTTGGATACGGTAGCTCAATTTGTTAGAGCAATAGTACGGAACGCTGGGGATGCCGGTTCAAGTCCTGTCTAAAATCATTCCATTTCTCTCGGTATTATTTTTTTTTATCCAAATAGATTTCTAGATTTGTCATATTTCTTAAGTGTCTTAAGGAGTATGACAATGTTCTTGTCTCTTATTGTCATTAAATTACCAATACAGTTCCTAGGGCCGGCACTAAACGGAATATAAGCGTAGGGGTGTCGACCGACAGAGTTTTCGGGCAGGAATCGGTCTGGATCAAACTTTAAGGCATCTTTGAATAGGCTCTCCTGGCGATGCATGTCGTAAATGTGTATGTGGCACATCGTTCCTTTCGGCACTTGGTAGTTACCTGAATTTAAAAAAAAGTTCACTACACAACAGGGTATTAAACATTTTAAATTAAAAATGGCTTTACTTCATATAACAATAACAAGTGAAGTAATGTGAATTCCACGTAAGTTTGAATTAAACATTCTTGACGGTATAAAACGCGAAATATATTAGTTTATTTTTCATTTAATTTAACTACGGCCCGACATGTCTGATACTCAGTGGCCGTGGTCATGGGGAGTCGCTTTCTAAACCGCTGTAAGTGTACTATTTAAATGTTGTATACATTTTATGATTACATAGATCAGTAAAATAATACAATTGTATTCGGTTGGGGTCATCACGTTATTTCTATCGCTATGCGGTGGTAACCTTGCTTATATACAGTTTATCAGTTGTATTTTAATATCGTAGACCCGGAAAACGTTGTTTGCAATTAAAAATATTTCTAAAGAATTTATAGCGTTTTTTACGCCAACACGAAAAACCAACCAACTTACCAAAGTAATAATTTAGATGGTTCTTTGGTGTAATGGTAGCAATGAATACTAACAATCGATCGGTTGTAGTTTGGAACTTGGTGGGGACCGACCCCACCAGGTCCAATGTTTATCATAAACGTATAAATTTAATGATGTCGGACTTCGTCTGGAAATCTGAATATATTTTCGATGTTTCTGCCACCCTTTAGGTAGGAGTATCGAACCGTTCGGAACCACAGGTAAAAAATCCCTCAAGTTTAATCGCGTTTTGGTTTCAATCTGTGGATTTCCAAATATTCAAAGCCAAAATAGGTCGACGGCGAATCTTTTTAGGTCTTATGGCTAGGGTATTACCTACCACCACCACCACCACATATTACCACCTACCATCAAGTGAAACTTTGTTTGTCCTCCTCTATCGTAAAGAAATATTGCCGCGTCCGCTAGTATATTTCAGAATCGGTCGAACCATTTCTTAGGAGTATGGTACCTAGGTAGTTTTACTTTACGTACGAGAATGTTATTTATATACTTACTTAATTTCACGGTTTCGGTTAATTTACGACTGATAAAAGGCACGGGTGGGTATAATCTCATGGTCTCTTTAATGCACCTTTCCAAATAGTTCATTGAGGCTAGATCTTCTACAGACGCATAACCATCGCTGTCAGTTAAAATGCTTTGTAGTTCTTCAAGTACTTTGTCCTTGAAAAAATAAAACAACAAGCTTATAAATTGCGTAAGGCTTTCACGGCCATCGTTCAGCGTATTATTGTTTTTCGGGCTGTTCGGCCGACGTGAGCGAGAAGAGATTCTCGATCGCGTTTCGCCATCACGTGCGGCCGGCATCATCAGGAGATGTTAGCTCCTCGATTGCTCGAAGAATTAACCTCTCCTCGCTCACGTCGGCCGAACAGCCCGAAAAACAATGATATGATCAACACCTTATAATTTAATATTTATTAATATGAATAATCTATATTAATAACTATTACTAACACTAATGTTGGGAACTCCTGCTTCGAATTAAAAAAATCTTTTTGTGTTGCTTAGAGCATTTATCGAGGACATATGAAACATTATCACGCTGCGACCAATAGGAATCACAATGGGAAATGAGGAGTAAACGGGGAAAATTACAAATTTTTTAATCATTCCGTTGCATGCGAAAACGGTTTAAGATACCCAAAAAAAATTTATGACAATGTTTATCTTTTAAGCATAGCTTTTAATAATAGCATTAACTATAGACAGTATTTAAGGTTTGTTTGTTTTCTTTTAGTTGCAACAATGACGGGACGCGAACGACGTGGGTAACAGCTATTATTCATAAAGATGAGGAGGTTTGCAAAAACATTTTTTACGCCCAAAATAGCAATTGTACGCAGACGAATTCGTTGGCACAGCTAGTCTTTGCTGTAGTTTACAGT